TCAAAATTATGTCAAATAAAAAATAATTAATATTTTTAAAAATGATTACAAATATAATTTAAATATGTTATCCAAAATATAGAAAAATAAAAGATATAACATATATTATTATTATTATTATGTTAATCAGTTATTTTATTTTTTAATTAATAAAAAATGTACCAGTTAGATTTATTATTGAAAAATATATTTTATGAACAATGAATTATTTTCATATTTTTAATTAATAATATATATAAATATATATATATATATATATTATTTTTCTTTATCTTAAATTTTCTATACAACATTTTTTTTTGTTAACAACAATAAAATTAATTTAATAATAATTAAAATGTTTAAATTAACATTTTAATTATAAATTACTTTTATTACTTTTATTATTATTATTATTATTATTACATTTACATTACACTATCAATCAATTGTACGGTATAAATATCATATACAGTATAGTTATAGATGATATAGTTGATATCAAAACAATTAGCAAATTTATTATAAATTATTATTATTATTATTTTTAAAAAACTACCTTAAATAAACTAATATTTAATAATAACTAATTAAACTATCAACTGATATAATTAATAATTTATCTAAAATTAAAACAACACAAATATTAATTAATATTTTATTTTTTATATTTCATTATAAAATTTCTAAATTGCTATTTAAAAAAAAAATTATTTTTTTTGTGAGTTTCTAAGTCTACAAAACTAAATCAATAGATAAATACTACCAAAAAAAATGTTAAAACAATTTCTAAATAGCTATATATTGACATTTAAAACATCAATTTATTTGATACTATTGTATCAATTATCTGAACAAACCTATAATTATCTACAGTATTCAGTGGTCAATAAGGTAACAGTCGATCATCACTATCGGCACTTTCAGACAGCATTTACCGTATGTTTTTCGCCTATACTATCAGCAAACATGTCCGCATCACTACTAGCCTATCGGCCCATCTATCTAACAACCCATGAGGAACATTATGGCGAAAATAGTGGTCATGGACTACCCGATTGGTTACCGCAACTCTATTGTGAACTAAAATTTAGCTACCGTTCCGCTACTACCTACGGTCATTGCGCGAGTATATGTGAACCATACAACCGGCACACGATAGGCGGCCATCAACATTGTATGTCATTCCTATACAGACACCGGCACCGGTATCTCATGGATCATAATCTAGACTATCTATGGTTAGACCTAAAAAATGTACGCCATATAAAATTTACCATGCACAGTATCAATGAACCGTCACATTTTGCCAGCAATTATCTAGACTTGGATCAAGGTTACGGTCAGTACGATATAATACCGCGCGTATTGCACGTGCAATCGTTGCCCGCGCCCTACAGTACCGATTGTCGCGATTACAGCAGCAATACCGACAACAACAACAACACCACCCAACACCAACAACACGCGCCTAAATCACGGGCTGACTGTATGCTACAAGTAATGAACATGATTGAGCTGAACACGTGCTCTGGTTATAGCACGTATTGGTCGGAATTTATCGATACAATAGATTTGTCAGATTATTATCGATTTGCAAATTATACTAAAACTAATCAATGTTGGACTAATAAAACCAATTATCTTAAACTATTGAAACCTAATTATAGAAAATTATATCAGATTTGTAAAATTGATTGCAATTATATGATAACAACCATCGATGTCCTAAAATTTATCAATCGTCACGAACACCAATCGTATCGTATAATCGGTTGGCAAAAAACTACACGTAAAACGTTAAACAAATACTATCCGCGTATGGATTTTGTGGACTATTTGTCCGCAATGGGCGGACTGGTATCCATGTGGACCGGGCTAAGTGTCTACAGTTGTTTAATACCGTTAATTATTAGATTGAAAATCATAATCATAAATAATTACCTAGCTAATAATAATAATAATAAATTTTTAAAATATCGACAAACGTTTAAAACGTATTGGAAATCGATTTGGAAATTTCTATTATTATCGGCTAGCTCATCTGTAATGATTATGCATATTAATATATTGTACAAAATGTATCTAGATAAAACAATATATTATAGTATGGAGTTTACAAACAAGATAACTGTTTTGCCAAATATACGTTTGATGTATCAGATATACAATACAACAAATATACTAGATCAATTATATAATTATGATAATAATAAATTGTATAAATTAAATGAAAATTATGGTCCAAGGGTATTTAATAATAAAACATTGAACATGATATTTAATTGGCTCAACAATAACGTAACCAATGAATGCTATATACTATTGGGTAACAATCGACGGGTTAATTGTCCGAATGGACGTTATTTATGGAAAGTTGATTATTCATTTATAAATAGTCCATTTATTATCTGGGACCCATTCCAGAATGTAACCAAACTAGATGATCAAGGTAATTTATTGAAAACATTAATCAATAGATACGGTATGCAACATTTATTTTTGAAAATAAATCAACCTGGTGTTAATTGGCCAGAAATCGATTATCTAGATCAATCTAGCAATGAATTTCTATTACGGTGCATATATATAGATATATTTAATGAATATTTGGATGAACAATTGAACAAAGCAATTTACGCATGTAAAAATTTCAGACGCCATACACAAATAACGTACGATGTTAAATTAATCAATAGTCTACCTAACCCAAAATTTCAATGTATTAAAACTGATGATGATGGTTTCAATAATAATAATTTAGATTATCTAGATAAAATTTTTTATCAACAATTTTATCTAGCTAATAATAATAATAATAATGATAATTCACGTGATCTGTTCAATACGTTTAGTCCGTATTATTCACGCGAACTATGCCTACAACGCGAATCAATTAGACTGTACGGCTGTATACCGATTGTCCATATTATGAGATTGTCGTGGACAGTTATCGGTAGTGAATTTCTATGGCCACTGGCCAGTTCACCTGGCCACCCTGGTCCATACTATCGTAATTGGTGTCCATTGAATTTACCGAAAAAAAATATTACGCCCATTGAATTGATTTGCGATAAACTTGCCGCTAGTTTTCGCCCACTCTGTAGTTATAGTGAAATAGATATTTCGGTCAAACAATTTACGGAAAACGTATCCGAAAATACTATACTGTTTATACCGAAAACCCGATTCATACCCTTAATTACCGAAAACTATTTGATGGGTTTTGCGGATATTATGTACGCAATCGGCGGTACTGTTGGCCTATGGATCGGTATTTCCTACTATACATTGTATACGGAAATTGAGAATTTTGTAATTAAATTGTGGTTTTTATTTAGTAATCAAGTAATTAAAAGAAATCAATTAATTAAAAGAAAAAAATTAATTAAAAGAAATAATTTAATTATAAGAAATAATTTAATTATAAGAAAAAAATTATGTAAAACAATAAATAAAACTAATATTTAATTATTTTTTTCTCAAATATTTATATATAATTTTTTTCAAATGAAATATTAATTAATTGTTTTTTTAAATAATTATTTTAAATATTATAAATAATTTAATAGTTTTTTATTTAACATTTAAAACATTTACACATAATTTTTTTTGTTAACGTTGTTTATGTATAAACATAACACTAGACAACTATACTTTTTTTTTAAAAAAATATTATTATTATCAACCAAACTATCCAAACCTGAAAATATTATTACAAAACTCAAAAAAAAATAATTACAATAATAAATGTTGTTTAATAATAAATTAATAAAATAATTAATCAATTAATTTAAAAAATAAATAAAATTAAATCAATTTTATTGAAAAACTTACTAAAAAAAATAGTAATTTATTTATTAATTATTAGTAGTATTATCAACAAAAACCAAACCGTTTTTCTCAACCGTGACTCTACTCTATGACAATGTGTTTGTTGAATGTTTAATAATATCATGCAATCGATTGTAATGTTATTTCAATACAATATAATAATAATAATAATAATGTATTTAATAATAGAAACTGTTTTTCAATAGTAATAAACAAAACAACAATAAAATTATAATCCGATTACCGATATATTACCGATTGATAGACCCGATCGACCACTGGTGGCCAACACACACACACACACCCGTCACACCCGACCGACAACACGTTAGACTATACTATAAATGACTGGAAGTTCACCGCCGCCACCGACGTCGGTATCCGGCGGTGACCCGATTGCTGGCGGTGGCCATAGAGATAGTGTAACAAAAAGTTCATCGGCCGATGGCCGATTACAGTCATCTACCGGTGGCGGCAACGGCAGCAGCGCTGCCGCGACCAACAATCTCGGTGTCGATCTGGAGTCCTACAAGACCCGTGTGGACGCCATAAATATCGACGGTATTGGCCGTACCAAAGACGACATACTGGTACCAGTGGTTCGGCAATTGTTCGATGCGGACAACTTCGAGCAAGTGGTCATACGGGCCCATACTGTACGGCAACAGTTGGAACAGTTGGGCGCCTTCAAGACCATCAATGTCTATATCGATACATATCGGGGCGCCGCCGGCGGTGGTGGTGATGACCACCAGAGTGTCGGCGATGGCAGCGGTCTCGAAGTGACCTACAGTGTGGTCGAGAATCGGCGAGTAGTTGGCGGCGTCAATACGTCTGTCGGCAACAACAACGACGGCTCGCTTGTACTACAGCTCAAGTGTCCAAACGTTTTCGGCAGAGGTTAGTGTCATTGAATTGATGATCTGCTGACCAATTGGTGACCACTTTATGATTGTATTTATTTATTGTGTTTTTTTAAGGCGAACTTTTCCAATCGGAGTACGAATACGGAACTAAACATACGACCGGTTTTCAGTCACAGTTTGTCAAACCGTTGGTTCCGTGGCTGTGGCCGCAGCCGCGATTGACTACAACATTGTTTCAGAACGGTTTCGACGCGCCGTGGAGTGGCTATCGGGAGACCGATAGAGGCCTGTCGATGGATCTGAGCTTCAAATCGCGTCGCTCTATACTGCATACAGTTCGCTGGGATGCCGTCTGGCGGGACATATCGGCGCTGACAACGGGTACGGCGTTTGCCGTACGCGAAGAGTGTGGCCATTCGCTGAAATCGTCGCTGAAACACATACTGACCTGCGATCGCAGGGACAATCCAATCATACCGACTGCCGGCCTATTGTTTCGTTTGCAACAGGAATGCGCCGGACTATTGGCCGGTAATGTAGGCTTTCATAAGCACGAACTGGAGCTCCAGTACAATCAACCGTTACCATTGCTCCGGGATATTGTCGTACAGGCATCGCTGAGGGCCGGCATTATGAAACCGCTACAGAAGCTGGAATCGGTTACCTGTATTAACGACCGATTTTTTATCGGCGGACCGCTAACACTGCGCGGCTATCAACTGAACGGTGTCGGTCCGCACAGCGACGGCAATGCGTTGGGCGCCAACACCTACTGGACGGCCGGCCTACACGTCTATACGCCCTTACCGTTCAGGCCGGGTTCGGGTAGCGGTTTTGGCGACTATTTTCGTACACATTTGTTTGCCAATGCCGGCAATATCGGCGATTTTAGTTTTACCGATGACCAGTACAAAAATATTGGACTCTTGTTGAACCGTTTGCGCTACAGTGTCGGCGCCGGTATTGTACTATCTATCGGACATATGGCCCGATTCGAGCTAAACTATTGTCTGCCGTTTGGCCAACAGTCCGGCGATCAGCTGACCCCTGGCCTACAGTTTGGACTCGGAGTCAGTTTTATTTAGTGCCGATATATTATTATAGTAATTAGTTCTAATTAATTAATTAATAAAAAATTAATTTTTAATTTAGTCTTAAAATTGTAAATTGTTTTTCAAAAAAAAAAAATTGTAAAACAAATATATATATAGTCATCGATGTTGAGGAAGAAATTAATTAATTTATGAAAAATAAATAAATAAATGATTTGATGATTAAATTATTCAATTTTTTTAACTAAAATTATAACTTTATATTAAAATATTAACTTTTTTTTTGAAAATAATGAATATTTTTTAGTAAAATTTGTATATTTAGGTAAAAAAGAACTTTTTTGTAAAAATTGAATATTTTAGCAAAATATGAATATTTAGGAAAAATATGAACTTTTTTTTGTAAAAATGAATATTTTAGCAAAATATGAATATTTAGGAAATATATGAACTTTTAGATAAAAATGAATATTTTAGTAAAATATGTAAATTTAGGAAAAATATGAACTTTTTTTGTAAAAATTGAATATTTTAGTAAAATATGTATATTTAGGAAAAATTTCTCAACTTTTCTATCCAACAATTCAAACCTAAACCTAAAAAGATTTTTTTCAAAGAAATTTAATTAAATTAAGTGATTTTTTTTATTAGTCTTAAGTTAAAAAAAATTAATTTTCAATTATTGCAAACAAACAACAAAAAATTCATTGTAAAGTCATTGTGATATTATTTTTATGAAATAACTTATAATTAATAAAATAATTTTATAAATGATTAAAATTTGATGATATGATAAAATAATTATAATAATAATACTGTTTTAAATAAGTAATTAAATTAAATGCAATCAAAAATGTTATTACATATATATAAAAAAATTGTGATTCAAATGTTTCAAAAAAACTTGTATAAAGTATTTGTTAGTTATATATATATATAAAATTGTTTTTAAATTTTAAAAAAAATTGTAAATTAATTTTTAGGCACAAATTTATCACAGATTTAGTGCACAAATATATTTCAATACAAAAAAATCATATTATTATTAGAGTATTATTATTATTATTATTAATTAATCCAAGTTTTATGATTATTAATCATTTGATTGGCCGTCCATTAATGGCTTTTGCTCTTCAGATTCTTCGTTACCATTGATGTCGTTATCGTTTGCTGTTGTCATTGTTGTTGTTGTTGTTGTCGCTGTCGAAGTAGTTTTAGTGTCAATTAAAGCACTGATAGTCTTATTGTTATTATTATTATTACAACTGTTTTGTGACGACTTTTGCTTCTTCGACGACTTCTTCGACGATTTCTTATGTTTTCGTTGTTTCGTTGAATCACTTTTATGGACGCCATTTGATTTGCTATTCACATAATTGTCGCCCAAATTCTTGTGCAACTCTTCCAACTCATGGCCGCCCAGTGCGCCGACAATTGACGACGACATAGTAATCTGTTTGACCTCAGAGTCGGTGGTAGTAGTTTCGCCGGCAAAATGATGGCCACCACCACCACCACCACTAGTACCCGCACCGCTAGCCTCGGCCTGTGCTTCGACTCGTTGGATGTGTTGGTCGACTATTTGCTGGGCAGTCATCAGACCTTCGTTACGGGACATCGGATCCGGCGAATAGATGCCCTCCGAATCGGACAACTGTATTGGCAGAAAACTGTCTTCGAGTTCGCTGCCGCTGTCCATCGGCCGAATCAGCTGTAGATAGGCTTCGCGTTCGCGCATCAGTGTCTGCAGCTCCTGAAGATTGGCGCACTGTTGGGCAGCCGCCGCCGCAGTGGTAGCAGCAGCCGTAGGTATTGTCGAATACGGTGTATACGGTGCCGGAGGATATTGAAACGCCGACGGCAACGGTGACGCACCGTACGGTAATCCTAGAAAGTTTGCCGCTGCTGTCGGTGCTTGCGATTGTCCAGCAGCTGCAGCGGCGGCCGCGGCAGTCATCGGATTGCCATAAAGCGGATTCAATGAATGGCCAAAATAGTTGGCCGCCGCAAAATACGGTGTCAGTCCGCCACCACTAGTCAGACCATTCATATAAGTGAGACCATAGTTAGCCGCTGAGGGAACCGCTAGATTTTGCATCAGTGTTTGAGTGCCGTTTGGCGTCGTATTCAGTGTCGGCTGTACTGTAATAGCACTGTTGTTACCGCCGGTGCCGCTGTTTTGCGTTGTGACAAAATGGTGTCCACTGGCTGTCATCGGCGGCTGACAGCTGTCCGGACGGCGTTTTTCCAGTAATGGATTTATCAGTTGAGACGACTGATCGGACATTCCGTGTGTGAAAGTAAAGCTCGTAGATTGTTGTTGACCAGCAGTGGTGCTGGTGGTGGCTGCCGTCGGTGGACGCACTGGTCGTATCAGTGGCGGCATAAACGGCAGGAAATGTGACGCTGCGGACATTAGCGGCGGCAATGAGTTTGGCGAACAAATCGGTGATGTCATAAACGGATGGATCGGGTGATGAGTCATAGCCGGATGTGACGGCATAGTAACGGCAGCGGCGACGGCGGCCGCCGCCGCTGCTGCTGTGTTGCGATCCAATTGGATCAGATCGCCAGTGCTGGTGCTCTTGCACTCGGACTTGGCTACGGCTCGCCGAAATACGTCGCGAGCCATCAGTGCAGTCGATACGATACTACCGGATGTGTCGCTACCGCGTCGGCCGCGAATGTGATAGGGATTCGACTTTTTCAATAGTTTTTCCCGTTCTTTTCGCGTCTTTCGTCGCTGATGTCGATCCATTGCTACCATTTCCAACTGTTCCAGACTGTACTGCGAGTCAAGCGATCGTCTATAGGAATCGTATGATCGTTGTTGGCTGACGTCCGAGTTGGACGAGTGTTGACGGGTGCCCGAAAAATTCGACAAATAATGATTCTGTTGCTGTTGGGCCGATATATGCGGATCGTTGTGGCCCAGTGCGCCCCTACGATGGACAAAAGTGGGCAACGCACCGGCCCAGGTGGCCGACAGCTCTTGACTGGCCGCCGAATTCAGATTCATGGCCACCGGATCCGAATGCATCGAATGAAAGCTGGGCATATAGCCGCCCTGACTCAGATGATGGCGATTGCGATAGGTTTTACTGATTATTTCGTCCGGTTTGACGCGCATCGGTGACGTGCGGCGATGATCGGGCCTCAACCGGCGATTCAAAAATCGTCGCCAACCAGACAACGAATTGGCCGTCCATACCCACGAACTCGAAACCAGTCCGATAGCGAATATGGCGATCAGTTGCAGATATATGTAGACAAGATTAGGCCGTTCGACAAGTTTGCACTTTTGGACGCCAGTGGTGTCGATGTTGTCGGCGGCGCTGAGATCATCGGCTATAGTATTGGCTGAAGTCGACAACTCATCGTACGGATTGAGTGCTGCCTTCAGGTTAAGCGTACAACTGGTGACAACAACAAAAAAAACAGATGAAAATGATAATCATATCTAATGGTACATCTGTTAACTCACTCACTCACTCACCCGCTCACACAGTTAGCTAACACACACACACACAGACACACAGCTATACATACAGAATATATTCGTTGAGCGATTCCTTCCATTGATTTTGATGTACAAACTCATAGATATGATAGACATAAGTGATAGCGACGGCCATCCACGCCGACAACATGAAGATAACTAGGATTCAGAATAATAATAATAAAACAAAGTGTTAATCATAACTATTTAGGTAACTGTTCCCTCAAAGTAGTGTTCGGTAGACACAAATACATACCGATCCGCAAAACCATGCGCTCGATCTTCTTGTTCTTTCTCAGATCGATACTGTTATGCGATTTGATGGCCAGTTTGACTCTGACCAGCGTAATCATTGCACGTATCAGATAGTAGCAGCCGATGGCCACCGAAACGGTTAACGGTATTAATACAAAACAAAATCGTATGATCGGCTTCTGGACGCCGACAAAGCATATACCGCGCAATGAGTCGCCGTCAACCTGTGTGTGTGACAGATAGTTATTAGTAATATATAAGTTGAGGACAGGTATGTGTGTGTAGTAGTAGACAAACCTCTCCCAGCGCCAGTATGGTTATGGTCAACATTAACGGTACTGACCATGCGGTCAAATGAAAGTAGGCCACCTTCGAGTTGACGGCAACCCTATGAGTAGATGTACTGGACGTCCGATACAATAGATCCCAAGCGTAGGCCAGATTGGCGTACCAGACGAGTGCGGCCATTGCCGAATAGTAGGTCAGAAAAAACGTTAGCAAACAATAGTGATTTTCTGGGGAATTTCCCGGTTCGCCGTATCGGGTCGTGTTGTCCGGTCGGCAAGAAATTACACGATGACCGTCGTGTAGGGCCGACTGCATCAACCAACCGGCGTAATGGGCGAACAGACATAGATTCAGATAGAATATGATCAACGCTGGCCATCGGCTTGAGGATCGCCAATCGATTACGAACGTAATCACAACGAATGCAGTGGCCAGCGAACCGGCCAGCGAACCATAGTAGACAACAGTGGCCACCCGGCGTCGATCGTCCGCTGTAAACATCGGATTCAGACACTGGACGGCGCAGCCTTCGATTTCCGGATACCAGATATTGTGGTCGTCGGTATTGACCAGCGGTAGAGCGCAACGGGCCGGCTGGACGCCGGGTGCGGCGTGAAACTTCAGATCGGTATAATCGTTTTTGCAACGGCCGGGAAACAGCGTCTCGTTATCGCATCGCAAAAATTCGGGCCAATGATGATGACGTTCTAGTAGTCGACACGGATGTCGGGTTAGTCGACACATTTCCCGCGTAGGCAACGATACCCGACCAGTATCGTTGTCGCAACGCGGAAAAAAAGTAGCGCACAGTACCGACTGTAGGGCTTTCCAGCACTGGGGTACCGATCGTAGGCCTTTCCAGCGGCTCAGGTAGTCGTGAATGTCCCGATGGCCGACCAATTCGCGGTCGGCATCACCACCGCCACCACCACCGCCATTGCTATTTAGATCCCAGAGTCCCGGCGCCGGTACGCCGGCAGTAGTCAACTTGTACGGCAACGTAACGTCAAGACACTGGCCAGTGTGCAGCGGCCGACATCGCGATTGCCGATAACAGTGATTGTTGTCGACGGCGGCGACGCCAACAGCGGACAAATCGCGTCCGGCGGCGGCTGCGGCTGAGGCAACGGTGACCGCCAACAGTATTGCCGAAACAATGATCGCCCGCAGTATTGATATGACCGTTGAATAAAACATTTCCCGCTATTCTTGTTGTTTTCGTTGTTGTTGTCCGTCCGTCAACTTCGGCGATGACTTCGGCGACAACTGTTATGTTGTTGTTGTTGTTAATTGTTTGTGTTGTCCACCGATTTTCTGGTCAAACATTTTTATGGCCGCAAACTATAGTTGACATACTTTTTGGGTATAAATTAAATAATAATAATAATTATTATTATTATTAGTTTTTTTTTGGGTATTTAATTACATATTTGTAAACAATTTATTAATTTTTTTTTTGATAAATAAAATAATTAAATAACAAAACAAAACAAAAAAAAATATTTATATTATTATTATTTAAAAAAAAACTTTTGTTTTGTTTTAGGGGTTCAACCAAACTATATGTTCAACAAAAAAAAACACATTTCCCTAAATATATTCCCTCCTCCTCCTCCCCCTCCCCACACAAATGTAAGGGAACTTATATATACTGTATAACTATTATATATACTGGTAACTAATCATGGTAGTTTGTCTAAATAATTTTTTAATGTTTATTAAAAAAATAAATAAAATAAAACTGTACTAGATTAATTAATTGAAATATATATATATATATGTTTCCAAAATATTATTACAAAAAAATATTTAATGATTTCATTATTTTTAGCGGGAATTTCTTCCTCTTTTTGATATTAATACTAAACACTAAACTATTAATAGTATTATTTGAATGTACAGTAAAAAAAAAAGCTCACATTTTGTTTCTGTTCATAGATAACGTTACAATTATTTTTCAAAATTTGTTGTTTCATTAATCAATGTATTCAATTATTTTTAGTTTATTATTTAATTAAATTTTAATTAAAAGTAGATTTTTTTTATATAAAAAAACAAATAAATATGTATTGAATTAATTAATTATTTTTTTTATGACTAAAATTATTTTTTTTTAAATTAGATAAAATAAAATAATAATAATTAAATCAATAATAATTGATATCATTTATAATAATTGAATTTAATTTAATAAAATATATCAATTAATGTTTTTGAATTTTATTTATAATTTTATAATAAAAAAATTTTATTTAATTAATAATTCAGACAAAATTCTATAATAATTATTCAACTTTTTTTTCAAATTTTTTAACTATATTATAACTTGTTTGAAAATAATCTATACAATTAAATATATGGTAGTTTAACATTTTAAATGATTATTATTTTTAAAATTTTTTTTTAATTAATTAGTCAATTTTTTAATCAATTGAAATAATTTACAAATATTTAACAAATTATTAATTACATAACAAACCTTAAAAATATTAATCTATGATATAATATGAATAAAACAAATATCAGTCATTTATTTATTTGTAATCAAAAAAAATAAAATAAAGATATGATATATTTTTTTAATGGCATGTATTATGAAAATATTTTATATAACTTGTATATCAATATTATTATCAGTTTTTATTAGGTAATAATCAATTAATTATTTTTTTTTATAAATGTATTGTAATTACTTTAAATATTTATTGATTTTTATTTATTTTTAATAAATCATATATTCTTTACGGTATGTATTAGTACTATACATATAACTTATAAATTATAAACTATAGATAATATATATATAAATTGTGTACAAAAATTGTTTCGCTAAATAATAATAATAATAATGATTATTATTATTAATATTAATAAATTTATAATATTATTATAAATATAACATAAAATATAAACATTTAAAACATGTTTAAATATATATATATATATATTAATATATAGTAATATAATGAGCGATAAATTAATTAATGACTTAATAATAACAATAATAATTTCATATTATTATTATTATTATCGATAATTGATATTTTGGGGAAAGTTATGAATCAATAAAAATTATATATTTAAAAAAAAACAAACAAACAAAATGATTACCAATTATTTGGAAAAATTATAATCAATAATAAATTTTCAATCTATCGTTTTTCTCCCTGAATATAAATTAATAATATTAATAACATTTTTTTGTTGTTGATAATTACGATAATTTTTTGTACATTCAATTTTTTTTTTGGGAAACAAAATCGACAAAACAAAAACAATTTGTATTTTTTTTAAATGTAAATTTAAATTTAACAAATTATTGTACTAATACTACTACTACTACTATTACAATATTACGGTATATACTACTACTCCTATATATATATATAGATATTGCGAATAAAATTTCAATAAATTTCTGGACATCGACTCCAATCCCTTTCCCAATAGTGACCGGTATATATCCAGTCGTCCTCTTTTGTATACTTGTTTTGTTCGGCTTTAAACCATCTATTTATTACAGGGGGTGGGGGAGTGGGTGACAAAAACAAAACAAAAAATATTAGCAATTAATTGAATCAATTATAGTTATAGTTAGTTAGTGTCCATACAATGGCTGCCAAACTTGTTTAGACTTTTTGCGCTGTCGTCTAACTTCTCGTTGTTTTTCTTCTAAACGATTCTTCTCGACGGCGGCACTATCTGTGAGGATCAGACAGACAGACAGATCATTATTAGGTCAATGATATAATGGATACATCCATAAGCGTTAAGAAAAAAGACAACAATTAACTAATACTAGTAATCACTAACCAAGATCTCCGTCTTCCAGTTTGCGTACGTCGGGCCGATAGCGGCTATCGGTTGGCGGCAAACGTTTACTACCGCGACGATGATCGTCCAGTAGCTGATTCAACGACATCGAAAACAGTGTATAGTGATAATACTGTGCCGAATGTTCGGGTCGGGCGATTGCCTGCCATAGTAGCCGCGAGTTGGGAATGTCCAGCGAATGTGAGGAATCACTTTTGGGAATTTCGCCGCCGCCGCCGCCATTCGATACACCATTTTCGGCCGTTTGTTGTTGGCCACCGGTAGCGGCCGATGAATTATTATTATTAGTATTGCCAGAGCCGTTATCGGGCGTATCGTCCGACGACGACATCGATTGACTGCCGCCGCCGCCGCCGCCAGTCAGCTGTCGTGTGAGACTATTGAGTTTGGAGAACACTTTGCGCGGCGTCGACGGCTGTTCGCCGGCCGGCCGATCGGGTACGCGAAACTTGTTGGCATTGATGCGCATGTATTCGTCGTATTCATCGGCGCCGGCAGTCTTGAAATAGTCGGCCCATTTGCCGTAGACGAACCGTAACTTGTCTTTGCTATTGAATGTGTGTGAGAGAGAGGACAGACACGTAAAAAATTGCTAGATTTTCATGAATAGAGAGAGAGAGAGAGAGAGAAAGACAGAGAAAGAGAGACAGAGAGACAGAAAGACAGAGAGACAGAGAGACAGAGAAAGACAGAGAAAGACAGAGAGAGACAGAGAAAGAGAGAGAGAGACAGAGAGACAGACGGAGAGAGACAGAGATAGACAGACAGAGACAGAGAGACAGAGAGACAGAGAGACAGAGAGACAGAGAGAGACATAGAGAGAGAGACAGAGAGAGAGACATAGAGAGAGACAGAGAGAGAGACAGAGAGAGACAGAGAGAGAGAGACAGAGAGAGAGAGACAGAGAGAGACATTGAGAGAGAGAGAGACAGACAGACAGAGAGAGAGATAGTACATACTTTGGTGAATTGATGAATCCATCGAACCGGTGCAGGTCTTTGCCAAACCAACCGGCCGGCTTGAAGTTCAATTGTGTGCGCATACCATTGGACTGGTTGACCACTTCCATTAGGCCATACTATAGCATATCAACAACAACAATAAAAAGAGGAAAGGGATCAATAAAATAAAATTATCATCGGTGGTCCTTATTATATAAACACCTCATACCTGTTCAAACCATAGTTTGCCGACAATAATATTGTGTACACAACAGTTAACCGATTTCCATGTATAGACGTCGGGTTTGTTTTTCAACTTCAACGTAATGGTTCCCTCCGGTGATACCTCAATAGATTTGCCCCAAAATTTCAATTTCGGATTAATCGTACCGTGCAATATGAAATGATCGCTTTCGGCATGCCAGGCCGATATGGGCGGATGATGGGATACCTGTTCAAACAGGACACGTAGCCCCAGTTCGGGTAGGTCGTACTCGTAGGTTTCGCCCAGTAGCGGATTGAACGGTTTGTTTAGACGCAACCAATTGGATGAATAGGACGACACGATAAACGCACAGACATACTATTGAATGGTATGGTAGTTAAAAAAAATGATAAATTAATAAATAAAATTTGATTTTTATTTTAGTTTAGTTAAAAATAAATAATTATTGTATGGTTTGTAGAGTTTACCATCACCCCCCAACCCCGCCCCCTATATTAATTAACACACTTTCATCCAACACCCCTCCCCCTTCAAATGATAATTATGTCAATTATATATTAATAGAGTAATAAATAAAGTCATTATTTTTTTTTGTTTTTTTAAAAAATATATATTATATTTAGAAAAATTAATTTTAATATTGTTAACAATAACCGCTGATTCATATATATATATATATATAATTTTTAAGGGGCCCCTAACTTTTTGGCTTCAGGCCAGGGGGATAAAAGCCAAAATTTCTCCATCTCAGGGGGGGGTAAGAGATCTTACCCTACCCCCCCTTAGCAACCCTGATATATATATATATACAGTATGTATATATAATATTGATAGATATCTTAATTTTAATAATAATTACTAATTTATTAATAAGTGTTTTAATTTATTATTAATTTATTATTACTATTATTGATTAGTATTAATTAATTAATTAATTAAATTTTTCATTTGTTTTCAAGATAATTTTACAACTATAAAAATTTTTTTTTTATATAGATTATCAATTTTATTACAAAACTACAAAATCATTTTAAGTAACAAAAAAAACAATCAGTAATTAAATGCTCAGTAACACAGCGACACTATATATAAATTATATATATATATATATACAGTACTGTATATATTAACTAAATTAAAACTAAGTGCCACTTAAATAATTGAAACTGAAATTTTTATTTATTTTTTGATCAATTTTTTTTATGTTTGTTTAAAAAGTGATAATACAGTTATAATACTGTATTATCACACATATATCGTTTATAATATAAATTTAATACTAAAGATATCTTAAAATACTTATTATAATTATTTAATAAAAAAAATATTTCTAAGGACTTGTTAATAGTAATTATTATTATTATTACACAATTTTTTTTTTTAATTTTAAATGTCAAGTCATTGGGTACAACACTGTAGAGACTGTATAAAGACACTGACAAACGGTTTTAATTACAAAATACTATTATTTTTTTATAGTATTTGATAAAATAAATTGCTATTAATTAAAGATAATATTATATACAGTATATATATTCAACAGATTAGTTGAAACAAAAAAAAGTAATTTTATATAATTAGGACTATCGAGAGCTAATTAATTCATATATAAGTTATTTAAATTAAATGTATATATACTGTAAGTAATTTGTTATATATAATCACAAAAACAAAAAACAAAAAATCTCTTATAAATACTTAAATACCAACAAAAAAACAAAAAAATAATTACATTAACAACAAATACAATGCAATATATTATTATAATATAATTAGCAATACAAATGAGGAAAACTAATGTCATGGCATTTAAAATCGATATAAAGTTTATATATATATATATATATATATATATATATATATATATATATATATATTTATAAACTTAAAAAATATACACTATTTTTCTGTGTGTGTGAATCACTATTGGGAATATAATATAAAAATAAACTATTAATACATTATATTTTTTTTGTATACACAAACACTATTCAAATAATATTTTATTTATATATAAAACTATTTTGCAAACAATTTTTTCTAAAAGGAAATTCAATTAAAATAGGAAAAAATACATGATATGAATAAAAAAATATAATAATATTTCCATAAACAGTGAGAGAGAGAGAGAGAGAGAGAGAGAGAGAGAGAGAGAGAGAGAGAGAGAGAGAGAGAGAGAAGAGAGTGAAAGAGAGAGAGAGAGAGAGAGAGAGAGAGAGAGAGAGAGAGAGAGAGAAAGTGATAAAAATGTGAAAAATAGTGTAAAAATTATCTAAATTTTTATTTTTTAAACCATTAAATATTAATAGTAATAGTGATATTAATCGGGTGGTACTACTACTACTACTATCACTACTACTACAATACGCTACAAACCTCCATGCGCTCGATAGGGTCGTCCAGTTGGTCGGCCTCATTGAGTAGATGGGCGTACTCTAGGGTTTCGGTCATACGCTGCAAAAAGCTTAGGGGTTCGTTGAAAACTACGGGAAACGTAATTTTGGACAACTCTTTGCCGATACAGTGCTTGAGTATCGACCAGAGAGACACCTCCTCGCGCGGGACCATCACTGATGGTAGACGATCTCTATATTAATAATAATATTAATAATATAAAAATAAATAAAATATTAATTATAAATAATAATAATAAGGTAGCAATAATTATACAAAAATTTAAATTATAGTTATAAATCGATTTTATGAAACTAATTGTTCAAAAAAATATTAGTATAATATATATACTTTTTTCAGTATAAATTTAATAAATATATATATATATATATATATATTTATTAAATTTATACTGATATACAAATAAATAACATTTTTAAACAAATAAATATATATATATATACAGTATATATTCAAAAATGAATCAAATATACGATATATTAACTATAACTATAATTAAATTCAAAAATAATATATTCACTATATATATAAATAAAAAATATCTAATAAAATCTAGTCATTAAAAAATATTTAATTACTTTTAGATACAATAATAATAATGTAAATTAAATTATAAACAAAATAACTCTAATTTATTTTATTACAAAATTTATCAATAATAAAAACAACAACAACAAAATACCATAATATAATAAAAATTAATAATTTATAAATTGTGTGCAATATTTGTTTCAATGGGTATTTTAGTAATGAGATTATATATTTAAAATAAAAATAAATAAATAAATATTTTTAATAGCATTTTAGTGATTATAACACTATTATTTAAATATACAGTATATATATATATATATATATATCCATCAAATATTTAACTTATTTTACTACTATTACTACTAAATTATTTAATATAAAATTTGATTAAATAGAGTGCAGTATTAAATAATAAATATTATATATATATATACATATATTTAAAACTTTACAATTATTTTATATACAGTATTTAATGAATATCTAATATTTATCATTAGTATTATTATTATTATTAGTAAATTTTAATATAAAGTTTAGATTAAATTTTTAACAAAAAAAATAATTAACAGGAAAATGAAAATCTATTAATTACATGAAAAAAAAATAAATTAATAGCAAATTATTATTATTATTATTAATACCTGTATTTTTTGTCACTATTTGTTGAATGAGTTGACATTTTTTATTTTATTTTGTATTTAATATATCAAATAATTATTATAATTATTATTTCAAATTTCAATGTCTTCAACAAAATATTATTAAATATTATATATAAATACTTTTTTATATTTGTTTGGTTTGTATTATTGATATGTTTTAAGTAATTTATAGATTTATTATAAATCTTACATTACTTTTAATAATATAAAAAAATTACTTATACTTTGTATTTTTGAATTATACTTTCACTTAAACTGTTAATTAATAAAAATTAAAAAAAAACTTAAAATTATTTTTATCTCAACAAATTTTTTTAACGAGGATTAACTAATATAATATATATATATATTGATATGCTATTAGTATTATAATAATAATAATTATTATAATAATATAAGTGTTGCCAATATTTTATATATATATATTTTTATAATCAATTTTTTGTTTGATTTGATTTTTTTTTTGTTATAGATATATATTATAAAACTATTCAATAATATTACAGTAGTTATTATTATTATAGTTTAGTTATAGTTTTTTTTTAAATAAAAAAAAGTGTATTATAACTGAATATTACATTTATATTATTATTAATATCACTGATAATTATAATAATTATATTAATATAAATGATAACAAAAAATATATCATATCTAACCAAAAAAAAACGCGTTATAATTATCACATATTTAAAAAAACTTTATATTAGTTATTATTTAATTAATTAAATAATAATATTTTTTTTTTGACAATCATGTGGTCATTACAAATAAAAATTAAAAAACTATTATTTAATTTTAATTAATTAATAAAATTATTATCACATAAACAAATAAAATTAATTAATTAAATAATTTCTATTATTATTATTAATATTATTATTTAATAATTGATATGATATGACAAAAAATAAGTTATTAGTTTTATTTAATTAATTAATTATTTTTTTTGGGGTTTAAATAAAACATTAACTAATAATAATAATAATAATAATAATAATAATAATCACAACAACACTATAACACTAGTAGTGTTAGTGATAATGAAAATTAAATGTCTATTAGATATTGTTTGACACAATAAATAATAATTATTATTATTATTAAAAATATTTAATTTATTACATATTATTATTATTAATTAACGTGTTATTTATTAACTAAATAATAATAATATTAATAACAATAACACACAAAAAATATGAAAACATAAAAATCAAATAAAAAATTTCAATATTCAAGTAAATGTTTTTTTTTTGGTTATATTTTTAAATAAAAATATTAATAAAATAAATTACACAAACAATTAAATCCAAACAACAAACAAAAAAAAAACTAATAATTAATTAATTAATTACTTTTAATATATCATATCATATAATATTAATACTAATAACACAAATCACGACATTTAATATTATTATTATTATTATTATTATTATTATAATGTATTGAATAGTATGTAATGATTACAGTCTAGTGATGGCAATGTTAAACACATAGAGTATGTGTGTATTAATAATAATATTAAAAAAAAAAAATTATTTTACATTTATTTATAATACAGTAATAATAATAATGAAAATCAATTCAAAGTCCAAACATCACTAGTGTTAATATAATATAAACTGTTCATAAATACTGTTACCTAATAATAGTGTGTGTGTGTGTGGAAAAAACACTTGTACAGGTTTTTTTAAAAAAAATATTAAACTTTAAGTTTTTTATTATTTTCTAAAAAAAACTAAATGAAAAATGTGTTTTTTTATAAACACATTTTTTCAATCGTTATATATATATATGTTTATATTATTTATATTTTTTGTTGTTAAATAAATTAAAAATTATAATTTTTAAAAAATAAGTCTAGCTTGTTTTTATTGTTATTGTATGACTCGTACAATAAATTACGTTTTTGGTATTTTAAATATACACTTGTAAGTTTTTTGTTGTTGTTGATAATTATAAAATTTTTGTTGTTGTTGTAAAAATAAATATCAGTAACTTAAATAAATAAAAATGATACTGGGTATTATCATGCTGATATATAAACAAAATTTTTTTGATTTTTTTTGTGCATAGTTCATTTTTATTAATTTTTTTTAAAAATAAATAAAAGTTTGATATTAAAAAAAAATAAATAATTTCTTATGATATTTGATTTTCAATTTTTTTCAACCAACAAAAAAATTTATTATTAATTATTTAATTTTGATTGAAAATTTTTCCAAAAATTTATAAATTTAGTTATAAATTAATATAATTTTTTAAATTAGAAATTTTTTTTATATAATTAGATTATACAGTATCTACTATAAGTGATTTGAAAAATATAAATTTTGCAAAATGTAAAATTTTTGATATAAAAAATACTAATTTTGCATTTAATATTAATTTAGTTGATAATAGAAATAAAATTTTTGATAATATTAAAATATATATATATACTTTATATATATATATATATATATATATATATATATATATATATATATATATTATGAATAATAATTATTATTTATTATTAATATTATTAAAATTGTTACTAAAAAAAAATATTAGACTATATAATAATTGATATGAAATAGTAAACTAATTATTCAAACAAAATTGATTAGATATAAACATGTGATACTAAATGATAATAATATTAAATACACACACAACAACAAAAAATATTGTTACTAACTTTAGCAATCAGCAAAATTTAATTAAGTATATAAAAGATATTAAATTAAATTTTTTTAAAAATGATATAAATAATGCTATATATAAAATATGAAAAAAATTTTAGTAAAGTAGATAAAAATATTTAAAAAATTTACCCTGGTAAAATATTATATCTTTTTTTTCTAATTATAATTTATTTAACACAATTTAAATTTAACCTTTATCATTTGTGTATGTATGTGTATGTGTATGTGTATGTGTATGTGTATGTGTATGTGTATGTATGTGTGTATGTGTGTATGTATGTATGTGTATGTATGTATGTGTATGTATGTGTATGTATGTGTATGTATGTGTATGTATGTGTATGTGTGTATGTATGTGTATGTATATGTATGTGTATGTGTGTGTGTATGTGTATGTGTATGTGTATGTGTATGTGTGTGTATGTGTGTATGTGTGTGTGTTTATGGATATGATAAAACTATTATCAATTATATCTATATTAATTTTTTTTTAATTTTAAATATAATACTAAGCGTTATAATATTGATATTTTAAACTTTTTAAAAAAGATAAATGCACCCAAAAAATAAAAATCAAAGTTCAAATATCAATAGTTTATAATGTATTAATTAATTAAATGTTTATATATTTATATATTTAAATACAGTATAATAATATTATCAGTAATATTTATAACAGTACAACAAACCGTTTTATAAAAATTTATTTCAACAATAATATTAATTTCATAATTTTTTTTAAAAAAATTGAAATCTAATTAAAATAAATATTTTGTCAATTAAAACCAATTAAATTAACATTTTATTTTAATAGCCGATAAATATAGTTTCAGTCAATATATATATATATATATATATATATATTGTATCAATCAAATATACATATATACTAAATAAATAAAGTAACACTACTAGTAGCAACAATTAAAATAATAATATAATTATAATTAGACTAAAATAGTTGATAAGTCATCCGCTCATTATATATATATACTATAGTATTGTATAGTTACTATACTATAGTACAATAAGGTTAATATATAATATAATAAAAACTAATAACACATTGTATCGGTTATATACAATATATTGTTAATACTAATAATAATAATAGTATTGCCAAAAAAAAATAATAAAATAAATAATATAAATATTATTACCAATGAAAATGGCCAGGAATTGCATTTTTATTGTTATATACTGTATATATAAACAGTATATCAATGATATAAATCTACTTTCAATTTTGCTATTATTATTATTATTACTATTATCATAAACAAACAATAACAATCAATTTTTATTTTTTAATATACTGTATATTATTGTTGTGAAAATAAATTTAGCTAGCTAATATATATATATATAAATTAATTTCTATTAGAGACCGGATATTATGCAACAAAACAAAATTTCAATGTATACTTATTGTACATAAAATTTGCATTTATAATAATATGTAATTTACTATTTTTAGATAAAAATATATTGTTATATAATTTATTATTAATACACTAAATACTAATAACATAACTCTTTCATTATTATTATTATTATTATTATGTCAATTATTTCAAACATGTTTAACTACTATAATGTTAATAATTTATTTTATAATTTGCCCCAGGTACAATAGAATTATTTTATTATAATTAAATAATTTAATTAAAAATAATATACAGTTAACTTAGTGTAATTAAATATTTAATTAAACAATATAACTAAAATTTCTATACAATATATATATATATATATATAGTTTATAATTTATTTATGAATTTTTGTTTAAATTATAAAATTAAAAACTTTGTAATATTAATCACAGAAAATAATTATCAAATATAAAAAATATCAAACAATAGATACATTTAATTAATATTTTATGTCTTTTTTCAAAAAAAAAAATATTTTATCAAATAAAGGTCCTTGATAATAATCTAATTGCACAGTTCAAGTGTACAATAAATTCAATTTATATATACCCATATATATATATATATATATATATATATATATATATATATTATATATGCAAATAATTTTATTTTTATTAGTATATTATTATTGTGATAATTATTGCTATAATATCTGGGCAATGATTTATAAATTATAATAATAATAATAATAATTATTATTATTATTATTATTTTCATTTGTTGTAATAATAATAAAATAAAAACATTCAACTCATCATATGATTTGACATATTAAATAAATATATATATAAAAAACACATTTATTTTTTTTATTAGCCATTATAATAAAAAAAAATAATAATACGATATAATTATTGATAACAAACATTGTTTTTTAAATAAAATAATACTATTTCTATTGTTTGTTGACTTAATGTTTTTAATAAATATAACAAACAATTTAGTAATAAATATAGTAGTAATAAATATTTGACAAAATAAAATCACTGATAATTTTTTAAATTATATCGATTACATCATACAAAAAAAAAGGTTATAAACTAATTAAAAACAAACAAAAAACAAATAAATTACTAATCATATGATATAATAGATTAAATAAAGTTAAACAACAAAATTATTATTAAACACATTAATATTAAATTTATACGAAATTATAATGTAATTGAATAAATAAAAAATAATATTTTTTTAATTGCACACCAATTGAATTAGTTAGCTATATATATCAATTTTATATTTAAATACTAAACAAAACAAAATAATATAATTAATTAATAGTAAATATTATTTAAATACTTTAAATAAATAACTAAATAATTACTTTAATAACTCTAAATATTTAAAATAACTTAATAATAATAAATAAAATAATTGTTTTAAAACAAACAAATTAAATAAATAATTTACGGCTTACCGATACTGTCCATCGCTTGGCAATTCGGCACATATATCGGCCATCGAGGCTACGGGTGTCATATAATCGCTGGTCACTGTTGTTGTTGCATAGGATTCCAGGGCCGGTGTCCTGTCGTTGATATCGTCCGCATCATCGGCGCCACCGTTAATACTCAGTGTTATAGTCTTTTCGGACAACTGGTCGTCGGGATAGTCGTCGAAGGCATCGAAAAATTCGTCGACATCGCCGCCGATTGTGGTCGTATCGGACATTCCGCACAGCGATTGGCTGCGCGCGGGCGGCGAATGATAGCACGTACCAAACGATTGGTGATTATTATTGTTTCCGCCGCCGCCGCTGCCGATACCGCCGCCAACACTGACACTAGTGGCCAACGATTGTTCAAGGTCGTGATGCTCGCGGGCCAGCACGTGCAGGGCGTCCTCCAAAACGCGTACTTTTTCTTGTTCTTGTTTTAGTAGCATTTGTCTCACCTGTGGTTAAAAATTTAATTTTTAAAAAATAAATAAATACAGTATTTACTCCATATATTTTAAAAATCAAATCAATTAATACTATACAAGTAATATAATTTGTTTTAAATTACCGTAAATTAAATTAAAAATATATACATTAAAAACACACACACAAAGAGTTTCAAAAATATTATTATTATTATTATTATTATATGTCAAGTGTTTTTGTAAAAATTAAAAACGAAAAAATTTCTTTTTAAAAACTTTTATGTATTTATATATTTATTTATATATCTATTAATGACATTTATTTTTGAAAATCAATGTCAATAGCTATGTATATAAATGTGTGTGTGTTTGAAAAAGCTATGTAAAAGTTTTGGGAATTGAGATAAGAGAGAGAGAGAGAGAGAGAGAAAGAGAGAGAGAAAGAGAGAGAGAGAGAGAGAGAGAGAGAGAGAGAGAGAGAGAGAGAGTCGAGGGAAAGGGATGGGATGGGAGGAGATTGTCTGTATATGTTAGTAGTACTGGTGCTGTATATACAGAATATAATGTAAAATATATGATCTAATAATATGACGTATATATATATATAATTTACTGTATATATATATTGTTTGTAATATATAAATATAAGGAAAATGATAATTAATTTTTGATTTCAGTCCAATTGTTGATAATAGACGCTAATTTAAAATTTTAAAACAAATATTTAAAATAAATTTTTCAATCATTATATATATATACAGTATAGTGTAGAAACGGTATCTACAATATAATATATATAGTTGTTTAATACATAACTTAATATCCAATATAATTTCAGTATCTATGATAATAATAATAATAATAATAATATAAACATATTGGTATATTACTGTATAAAATTGAAATATTTAAGAGAGAAAAAACAAAAACAAAAAAACAATTATCAAAAAAATAATAAACATATTTATCCTAAAAATTAATTTTTTAAAATTCATAATCAGGAATATATATATATATATTTTTAATCACTGTATATAATAAATATTTAATCAATAATAATAATAATAATAATAATAATACAATGAATTCAACCAACAACAACAAAAAAAACCTATACATACCTCGTCCTGATGGGTCAACACTGTTAGACACTGGCTAAGAGCACCGGTAGCATTGGCCGACGATTCTAGTATTAGATTTACGTGAAACTTAATCGATGGCAACGTAGTAGCGATGAGATCCGAGTATAGACTAACAGCGGCGGCACTGGTATCCAATCGGTTATAGGAATCGTTGAACGACTGATCACAACTGTTGATTGATGTATCGCCGGCACAGACACCGCCAGCACCTGAACCGCCGCCACCGCTGCCATTACACTGACTCAACTGTCTTTCAGTGGCAACAATATCATCGTTTAGCTGAAGCATGGCTCGTATATGCCTCTCAAGTATCGATTGGTGAGCATTGGCCGTCTGTATCAGTGTCTGTATACCGGTGTTTGGCACCAAATCTTGCAGTTCTTCGTCATCCGAGTCGCAATCGTATCTCATTCCTTGTTTAATAAAGTTTGTTCCGTAATAGATATGATCGTTGATAGCGTTCAGCCATTTCTGGCGTTCAACAGTTACCGGCGAACTGAGTACGGCTTCGCCGCCCGACGGCACCGACAACAGTACACGGGAACGATCGCTAAAATAGATGACAAATTTGGTTTCCTCTTGAGGTCCTCCGTCCAGGCACGGCTCACATATGGCACTTTCCAGATACCGGTAGCCCTTACGACGGGTACCGGTACTGGCGTCGGCGCGTCGGGCAAAAAACGAAAACACTCCCCGCTCGAGGACAGCCCAGATCAGTCGCCAGCCAAGAAAACGGCCCTTTTTGAGCAGTGGTCCCTCGAAACGGCCAACCGATTTCGGTTTCAGTGCGGCTAACTGTGCGTTCAGCGGCTGTACTTCGTGTAACAGTTGTTTGATTTGTACGTTCGGTGCCAGCGCCGAGGCCAACTGTCCCCGATTGTTTTTGACGGCTACGTCGATGCCGTGCTTGAGCAGGAATACGGCCACCTCTTTCTGTGCCCTATAGGCTGAACAATGTAGGGCTGTATTACCCGATAAGTCTTTGCAATTGATGTCCAACGGTTTGCTGGTGTCGGCCAACAGCGACCGCATCGTATCGATATCGCCGTTACGGGCGGCGCTCAGAAAGCGTTCCTCGCGGCGCTTGACATCCGCTTCTTCGGCCGCCAACAGTATACGTTTGACCGACTCTTTGCGGGCCAATTCGCGCGGCGTCAGACCGTCGCCGTTGATAATAAGTACGTCGGCATTGGCGGCCACCAGCCGTACGCATATGTCCTCACGGCCCGTATAGGCGGCCTTATGGAGGGCCGTATCGCCCGATTCGTTCACTATATTCACATCGCAGTTATTCTGTATAATAATAAATAAAACAAAATATAAAATTTATAATAATTAAAATTATTTATAAAAAAAAAACTAAAAAATTACCGAAAAATATTTATATTATTAGAGAGAAAAAAAACTTCAAATATGGTTATCATATATATATATATATGTAGTAATTATTATTATTATTAGAGAAAATAACAAACAAACAAATATTAAGTAAATATTAATACATAAAAAAAATATTTTTTTTTTGAAACAATTTATGCGCATATTTGAAATTATATCAATTGTGTAATATTATATATATTATCGATTTTTATTATATTAAAAATTAATTTTTTTTAAATTAAAATAAACTTAATAATATATTAATGATAATTACGATATATACGATACTAATATACAGTATATATACGTTATATATATATATCTTAATCATAATATTTCATTAACCGGTAATTACTTATAATCACGCATTTTTTTTAACATAAAAAAAATAAAATAATAAAATAAATTATTAATAATAATGAATATATGTTAGAAATGTTTAATAACTATTGTTATTACTGATTGTGTTATAACTGTATTATAAATATTACGGTAATTATACGGTACTCTAGAATCTAATTGATAGATAAAAAATAAATAAATAAATTTTTAATCAAAAAAAAAAAACATTTAGATATAGCTTCTAATTTTTTTTTAAAAAAATATATATATTTATATACAGTAGACACCATCGATACATACGTTGAGTAGTTCATCGACGACATTCAGATGACCGAAATAGGCGGCCAAATGTAGTGGACTCCAGCCGTAATTACTTTTTTGTTTGCCTAAACATGTGAGGGGCGGGGGCGGGAAAACAGGTGGGCGCATATAGAGATAAACCAAAGAGATATAAATTAATTAATTAAAAAACAAAACAACTTGGTTAGTTAAATAATAATTAAAGTAGTATAAAGTTTTTTATTCCGGGGGGAAAGTTTCCGGTAAATTATTGTAAAAATCAATTCCCGGAACAACACCAACCTTTGCAATTGAGATCCAAATCAATTTCGCTTTTCTTAGCCAATAGTATCAGTTTTTCCACTACTTTTAGATTACCGGTACGGGAATGGTATAACAAAAACTCTTCGGGAGTATCAAAATCAAAGCCATCGATACTGTTGTTGTTGTTGTTGGCGCTGTTGTCGACGCCAACAGCATCGCTGGCCACCGTCGCCGACGATATGTTATTGTTGTCTTTGGCCATTTCGTCGTCGATGTCGCTGTCGGTCACTTCCAGGGCAGCCGTAGCTGTTGCTGCCGAAGCTCTTCTAGTTGTTGTTGTTGTTGTTGTATTGTTGCCATTGTCATCGTCACCGCTGCCGCCGACTACTACTGACACCGACGACTTGTTTTTGTTGACAACTGTTGCCGAAGAAGAAGACATTACAACTTTACGACGTGTTGTTGTTGTCGTAGATGTTTGTCTTCTTATTCTTCTTGTTCGGCCACCACTACTATCACCACTTCTTGTGGGACGTAATCTCTCGATTGAAAACACGATTTTTTAAAACTTTTCAAACTTATGGATGAAATTAAAATTTTTAAAAAAATATATAGTTTTATATGTCTTCTCCTTCTTTGACACTTCTTCTTGAAATTAGATCTCTCTCTCTCTCTCTCTCTCTCTCTCTCTCTATGTCTATGTCTTTGTGAGGTTTTTGTGGATCTGTTTCAGGCAGTCGTCGATTGGGATCTAATTGTTATCAATTGTGTTGACATTATTATCATCCATAAGTTGATCCAAAGCTGATCACCCATTAGCTGATCCAAACAGGACTGACAGTTGATTTACTAAAACATAAAAAAATAATTATTTTTACTAAAAGAAAATTTAATTAAAATATTTTATTTATTTAACAAAAAAAATTATTAATAATTTTTGTTTTATTTGTTTCGTTATTAATATATTCTTCATTAATATTATATGATTTTAATTAATCAACAAAAAAAAATTAATAAAATTATCGTAAAATCTAATTAAAAATTTTTTTAAAAAAATTAAAAATACAAACATTTTATTAATTTTTTGATGTTTTATTTTGTTGATTAATAATTTACACAATTTTTTTGAAATTGAATTGACATTTAATACAATAAATACTTTAAATAAATTAGTAATAATATTATTAAATAATTTTATTTATAAAACATTTAAATGTTTAAAGAAAATTCATTTTTAATGTCATATATAATGATAATTATTTTGAGTGTCCGATAAATAAACTAAAATAAAATAATAATAATAAAAACATTTGACCAAAAATTTTCAAATAGTCAATAGTTAACGTCCACATTATGTTATGAATTTAATAGTAAATTCAATACAATAAAAATGGACGTAATTTATTTCCAAATTTTTTGTACAATGTACATATTGAAATACAGTACTCAAAAAATTAAAAAGTTAAAATAAAAATTTACGCCCCCCTCTCTCTCTCTCTCTCTCTCTCTCTCTCTCGCTAACATTTCATACACATGATGTAAAATTTTATTTTTAAAAATATTTATTTATATTATATTATTTGATAATTAATCATAGATTTGATAAGTACTATATATTTTTATGTTTTGTTTTGTTTTGTTTTTTAAGTTATAAAAATATCGATAATTAATTATTTTTTCATTAATACTGGTACAGTATTATCTCTTATGTCAAAAAATTAATGTAGGATATATTACGTTACATAAAGTTTTAATTTACATTTAAAAAAATGTTATATAATATTTTAGTTTATTTAAAAAAAAAATTAAATTAAATTTATTTAGTTTTTATGAAACTAATTTGAAAACTAATTCTATACTATAAATAAATAAATATATTTTAGTTAATACGTTTTTAAAAAAAAATTTAAATATTTTTTTCTATAATTATTTTCTAAAATTACTAAATTATTATGATATAAAAAATAAAATTATTAATAATAACACTAAAATACTAAAATTTTTATTAAATAAATTTTTTTATTAAATACACATAATTTTTTACATTTTTAGTACAGTATATAAGTGTTTAACGTTATATATGAATGTGTTGTTTGTATATATATATTAATGTAATACAGTATTGCAAATGTATTTCAATAACATTCACACACTGTATACCTAAACAACAAATTGTATGTAAAGTTAACAAACAAACAAAAAATTAATAATTAAATTAAATTGAATTAAATTTTTAATATTTTTTTCCCCCTAAATATATTTATCTAGATTTGAGACCCGGGATAATAATAATAATACTACTACTACTAAACCCCTTGTGAATACCCCCTACAAATGAATTCACTGCTATTTAAGCCGATAATTGTCCAACAATTGATTAGACATCAATTAGCAGGGTGGTAAGTTTATTTTAATTAATTAATTAATTTTTAAAAATATATAAACTAGGTAAAAGTAGAGGGGGTAGGTGGGTGTAATACCCTCATGGGGGTGTGTGTGGGGGGGTAGTTAATAATAATAATAATAATCAAATATAATTAGCATGCAGGCAGCAAAAATTAATTTTTTATCAAGGTTAATTAAAAAACATTTATTTGTTTTTTTTTTGTTGTATTAGTCTATCATTATCATCGGTACGTAATATGTCAGGTGGTCTGGGCAGCGGTTCCGGTAAGGTATGTATATCATGCTTATGTATATTAAAAAAAATAGGGTATACCTGGCTATCATCATACCTATACCAGATAGAGACTAACCCCTCCCTCCCCTCTCACCCCCCCGAAACATTTTTTGTACTCCATATACATGTTGATAATCCTCTATATATCTCCTCTATCTATAACCATTCAATAGGATGGTTAACAGGGGGCGGGAGTGGAGGTGGGGGTTGAATGCCATCAATGATAGAGAGAGAGAGAGAGAGAGAGAGAGAGAGAGGTTATGCACAGTTAGTATGTCTATTGTTTGCTAGATATCTAACTACTGTCGATATATTCCTGTAGTGTTTGTACCCTCTCCTCCCCCATACCCACACAATCGGGTCCCATACCATCGCATCCCACCCTCCCATACCCTGAACAACAACAATCAAATGCCTATAATATCTCACTTTTTTTCTTTGTCTATCTATCCTCTACTACCATCACATCCCTGTCCACCTCCACAGGGCGGCGGCTCTGGCGGATCGATTCGCGACGCCGGCGGTGCGTTCGGCAAACAAGAGGCCGCCCGTGAAGAGGAGTTTTTCCGACGCAAACAGAAGGAACAGTTGGAATCAATGAAGAAGGGTTTGGACAGCGAAAAGGATAGACTGGAAAAACTGATTAAAGATCACGAAAAAGAAATCGAAAAATTACAGAAACTACAGAAAGATAGCAAATAGTTGTCTGTTTTTTTTGGAGGACAGTTAGGTGTGTGTGTGTGTCGACAAAGAGATTGAGAGGACTGTCTATATATATATATATATTCAACTAATCTATCTATTAGTTTGATTTATTATTATTATTATTACCGTAGATGACTGTCTATTACCATTAAAAGATATTTTTTTTCAATTATTAAATAATAGTTAAATTTTTTTTTATAAATTCAAAATTATTATTATTTAGAAATTTTTTTTTGTTTGTTTGTTGATTATTCAGTAGAAAAAATAAATTTGATTTAATATTTGATTTATAAATTAGTTTTGTAATAATAATAATAATATGAAATTATAAAAAACTTAATGTAAACTTAATTAATTAATTAATTAAATAAAACTTATATCTAGTGATTTTAATAAATAAAAAAAAATTATATTTAATTGATTTATTAATTGTAAAAATTTCTAATAATAATAATATTTTGAATTACCGGTAAATAAATAATTATATAAACAATTTCGTGGATAACTCTATAGTAATAATATCGTAATAAATATGATATTTTGAATTAAATTGAAATTTTTGTTGACATTTATTTTATTTTTAAAAAAAATTGAAATAACAAAATAATAATAATAATAATTTTAATATCTAATAACCATGGTTGTTAATGTTATTTTAAACTAACTCACCCACTCACCCACTCACTTACTTAGACCTAAACAAACTATACCTGTATATATATACTGTAATAATTTTTTTTTCATTAATATATACCGTATATAAGCTATCTCTTTGACAACAAGAATAATATTGTTATAATAATAATAATAATAATAACATAAGTAATTATATATACATTATATATATATATATATTAAATATTTAGCTGTAAGTATTTGTAAGTATATTGATTTTAAATCTACATTATTAACATGTCAACAAAATATATATTTATATATAAATTATTTATATATATATATATATATATATATATATATATATATATATATATATATATATATATATATATATAGAGAGAGAGAGAGAGAGAGAGAGAGAGAGAGAGAGTATATATTGAATAGAAAAATTTACATTGATGTAATCATTTAATAAAAATACTCAAATTTAAAACATATTTTTTGTTAAAAGCATATTATATATATATTTTTTATACATAAAACAAATAATTTATTATTATTGTACAATATGTTACAATAATTGTCTAAATAAATAATTTAATTATTTGATCTAATAAATAAAAATATATTAACTTGATTATTATTATTGATTATTATTATTATTATTATTATTATTAAATGGCTTATATTAAATACTGTCACTATAAATTTCATGTTAGATGTGGATCAGGTTTGAATTATTATTTATTAATTTTTTTAAATATATAAAATTTTAAATAATACTATATATTTATAATTTATATAGATTTATAATTAATATAATTTATTATTTTAAAAAAAAATAATATTACCGTAAATAATAATTTTAAATTCTTTATATTACATGAATAAACAATTTATCAATTATATAATACTATACTAATAATCTTTAAATATATATAAATTATTTTATTATACAATATATATATTCATATATATATAGTTATTATATATATATAAAACATTAATTAATATATTATTAATAATTATTATTAAATTTCGTATATATTATGATAAACAATAATCAATTTAAAAAATAAATGTTAATTTTTTTGTATAACTATTATTATTATTATTATATACCGTACATAGGGTTACCGTTTTTATTGTTGGCCGGACTAATGGAGCCGTCAGATGTTAACCATATATTTTTTATAATAGGATTAATCATATTTATATATGTGATTTTATGTAAATATATCAAGATTAAATTTTAAGTTTTTTTTATTATTATTATAAAATGAAAATACATTAACTGTAATAAATATTATATACTGTATTAATAATTACAAGAAAAATATTAATTAAATACAATGAAAAAAAATAATATAAATTTTTATTTTATTTGTTAATTTAAAAAATAATTACACAAATTTTATGATATTATTATTTGCTTTATGTAAACTTATTTACTATTATTTTATTAATTTTATAATAACTATAAAAAAATAAAATAAAAATATTTTTCTTAAAAATTATTTGTTTTAATAATTTAATATTTACTATTTGTTTTATTGTACTATACATAAAACAAATAGTTTTACAATAAATCTATTGAATTGATATATAATAATATAGTTTATATTTAAACACATCTAAATAATATAATTTTTGACATTTAAATTACAAATATAACACATTAATAAATTTATATAATAAATTCAATAATATATTTTACAATATACAGTATAATATATATATACAGTATATAAATATATAAATTTTAGGATACAATAGAAATTATTATATAACAATATATATATATATTTATAACATTAATAGATTTTACCTGTACCTGTAAAAATGTTAATCAATATAACTACCTACAAGTTTGCCTAAAAATATAATAATTTATATAAAGATATTCATTATTATTATTTTTTAACTCTCTCTCTCTCTCTCTCTCTCTCTCTCTCTCTCTCTCTCTCTCTCTCTCTCTCTCTCTCTCTCTCTCTCTCTCTCTCTCTCTCATTCATGTATTGTTTAATATACTGTATATATATATAAATATATGTTTTGATTGTAAATTATTATTATTATATATATATATATATACTGTATATATTTATAGTAATAGTAGTTGTAGTGGGCTATTATAATAAATTGCCATGGTTACTCTTTAAAAAAAATATTAAATAAAAAACATAATCATATACTATAGTATTATATATATGCTGTATATAATGTATAATAATTATTCATAAAAATTAATATTTTAATATTTAAATATTATGTAAAACTTTTTTTTTTCTCTCTCTCTCTCTTTATATATATATTTAGCAAATATTTTATTGTGTTTAAGAAAAAATATATATTTCTTATTATTAAATAAAATATTATTGTTTTAATAGTTTTCATACACACTATAAAGTAATAAATTTCTATATTTCTAAACAATATATATTGAATATACACTATATATATATAGATATAAATAACTTTTTTCATATGAATTTATTTAATAATAATAGTAATAATATGTTTAATTTAAAACGTTGTCTACATATCTGTCAAGTGCTGTGTTGTCTAACATTTTTGTCGATACCTGTCCTTACGATTATGCTATTGTATAGTCTGGATAATAGGACGGCACCGATACTTGTGGTCATTACCATATGTTGTGTCATAACCATTGTCGGCTTGTATATGATATTGTTTGTAACAATCAAACTGATACATAAGCCAGTGATTAGATCAGCAGCAACGACACCACCAGCACTACCGATACCAACCACACCGACACCGATAGATGAGCTAACGCTGAGAAATACCCGATTGAATGCCGGCTATTATTTCGATGACAACACCAATGGTGGTGGTGGTAGTGGTGGTGCTACAGCACAGTTAGTTATGGGCACCGTATTGATGAACAGTCGGCTAATTGTGCCGAATAGGATGACCGATCTAGAGTTGCAACTTAAATATAATGAACTATTATTGGCTAAAAATTGAGGGGAAAAAATATTGTTATCAACTAATATACTGTCAAAATATTTTGGCTAATATTTAATTAAAAATTAAAAACAATTTTAATAAGAAAAAATTAAAAACTAAATAACAACTCTAGTTTTAAAAGGAAAAATCTATTACCAAGGTAAGCTTATCAAATTATATTTATCTAATTATATATAAATAAAAATATTTGAACAATATTATTTGATTCCGCCCAAACCCACCCACCCTCCAAAATTAAATTATTATGTATAAAAATATACATGCTATTTTTTTAAATAATAAATAATTTCTAACATAAAAATAAAATTAATTTAATTAATTGTAAATATATTATTTAAGCTAATTTTTACTTTATATGATTAATTAAAAGTGTCAAAAAAAATAAAATTAATAAAAAAAACTGTATTCAAAATAATCTTATACTGTTCAAATACAGTATAATAATTATACTTTTAAAACTAATATATTTATTTTTTAAAAAAATAATTATTATAAATTATTGTTTAAATATTTTATATATAAATATGTATATAAAAAAATTCAGCTAGTTTGATTACTAAAATATAGCTAAACATATATATATTAGTCAAATTTATAACTGACTATAAAATTATACATTATTTAATATATATATATATATATTTCAAATATAAATTTAAGATTATTTAGACTAAAATATCAAAGAGTATACTATTATTATATAAAAAAAATTATATATATAATATATATCTAATCTAATATACAGTACTCACAGTGATAATCGACATATCATTATCAATAATATTTAATAATAATAATAATAATAATAATAATAATACATTTTACTTAATGGTCGCTATACTATAATAATTTTTTATCTATTGTATATTTGTCATTTTAGTCATAATAATAATAATTATGATATTATTATACATACAGTACTAATGTATTATACATGAATTGAATTGCATATTAGTTTAGTAAATATTAAATAACACACACTGTATATAATATATATCTATATATCTATATATATACTAATATATGATATTAATATTTCATAGTAATTGTGTTACAAATTGGCAATAAATTTTTTTTTTGATATTTATTATTAATCAGTAATACGTAAAAAATAGTAATTATATATTATTATTATTATATGCTATTAATATTTAAACTGATTTCAATCAATATTTTAATCGGCTATTAATAATAATAATATTTTAGTTAATGTTAATTAAGTTTGATATAAATTATTAATTTGAATAATAATAAAAAAAGTGTTTTATAATTAGCATTTGATTTTTATAATTGGTGTCCAAAATGTTAAAAATATTTTCATCAAAACAAAAGAAACGTCAGCCGCCGGCTCCCAATCCCTCTGAAGCCATAAATAGGTATTAAATTATTAAAAATAAATAAATAATTAGATATAAACAAAATAATTAATTAATTAATTAACTTAATTATTAATTTATATATATATACTGTATATATACAGTAAATATAATTAAATAAAGTAGTTTAGAGAACAAACAATAATGTATTTTATTTTATATTATTTATTTATTTTAAAAAAATAGTTTTATAATAAAATGCTACTATTTTTGTTACCAATTTGTTATTGTAAATTTAAATTACCACTTATTTAATTAATAATTATTGATTGAACTCTCTCTCTCTCTCTCTCTCTCWCTCTCTCTCTCTCTCTCTCTCTCTCTCTCTCTCTCTCTCTCTCTCTCTCTCTCTCTCTCTCTCTCTCTCTCTCTCTCTCTCTCTCTCTGTATGCGTGTGTGTGTGAAGGAGAGAGAGAAAGAGAGAGAGAGAGAGAGATAAGTTTATAAAATAATATACAGTATATATACTGTAGTGTAAGTAAAAAAACAAACAAAATATTAACTAATATACTAAATATAAACTAAAAAAATATTTTTGAATTAATTAATAAATAATTATTATTTTACACACAGAATACGTAACATAGAGGAAATGTTGAACAAAAAACAGGATTATCTGGAGTCGAAAATTCAGACAGAGATGGCTATCATCAGGAAAAACGGTACGAAAAACAAGAAGATTTCAATGCAGGCGCTGAAACGCAAGAAGCGATTGGACGGCCAGTTGCAGCAAATCGATGGTACACTGACAACGCTGGAGTCGCAGCGGATATCCCTGGAAAATGCCAACACCAACGTACAGGTGCTACAGTCGATGAAGTACGGGGCGGATGCCCTGAAACAGGCTCACACCAGGATCGGCGATGTGGACAACGTTCAGGACGTTATGGACGATATTCGGGAACAGCAGGAATTGGCCCAAGAGATCGGCGATTTGATATCCAATCCGCTGGGTTTCGGTGGTCAGGATATCGGCGATGATGACGATGAACTGCTCCGTGAACTCGAAGATCTTGAACAACAAGATTTAGACGAACAGCTCCTGAGTACCGATGGGTTACCGTCGGTGCCATCGACTAGTCTACAGAAGCCGTCGTCGTCGGTGTCGTCGTCGTCCAGAAAAACGGTGGCCAACGATGATATGAATAAGACATTGAAACAGTTGGCCGATTGGGCCGTTTGATCCCATAATTTAAATTTTAAATTTTAATATATCATATATTTTTTGTTGTTGTTGTCAATAATTTTTATTTATAGTATTATAATTGATATGAAATTATATTTTTATATTTATATTATATAATACCTGTATATTAAGTATTTTTAAAGTTTTTTTAATGCCTAAAATGTTTATTTAATTTTTAAATATATATATATAAATTAAGTCAAAATATTATATGTATGGTAATATACAGTGTATAATAAATAAAATATAAATAATTATATATATATATATATATATATATATATATATATATATAGTCTTATTGTGTTATTGCAGATATTTTTTTGCAAACAAAAATAACTTGAATGTTGTTTAGCAATATAATCATTATGTTTACATTTTTGAATAAAAAATAAATAAATTGTTTAAATACTTAAAAAAAATAAATAATAAATATTTCTTATAATAATTTTTTTGTGTTTAATGTTTAATAATTTATTGAAAATAGCTAAACAAAACCAAATAAAAAATAAAAATAATACAGTATAATTTAATTACAATATATTATAAATTAAATTTTTAAATTATCATAAAAAAAATTCTATTAATAATAATTAAATAATTAATTAATTAATAATAGTTATTATTATACTCCTGCAATATCGCGGATCCATTGTCGATAGGCGCCGACACGCATATATAAATCTGGGATCACCGTCACCATATGGATGGGGACCGGCAACTACCAGACCAAGTAGATCGCCATTGGCTACCAATGGACCGCCAGAATCACCCTGGGTAATTAATAATATATATATATATATATACAGTAATATTGTAAACAAATTTTTTTTTATATTCAGTATATTAGATATTATCGATATATACTGTATTATATATAGATACTAATAAATACTATGATAGATAACAATTAATGATATTAACTTAAAGTTAATTATTATTATTATAATAATAATTATTATCTAAAATAATTTTAGATATTTATAATGTTTATTTAACTATTTTAGCTTATGGTAAATAAAATTTTAAAAATTAATTAATTAATTATTATTGTTGTAATTGTTAAGTATAGTATATATATATATATATATATTAGATTTTTTTTAGAAAAATAAAAATTATAATATAATATATTATTTCTAATAAACACATCAACAAAAAAAAAATCAAATCAAACATACATTACATGCACCGGTATTACCACTAGTTGTGCACAGATTATCAGTAGATAGTTGTAAATTTTGATAACGATTATTACACTGTTATATACTAATAGTTATAACCGGATCAATATATAATACAAATATAAATTATACAGTATATATAAGTATGGTTAAAAAAAATTTTTTTTTAAAATTAAATCAGTATTTATATAGTATTTAAAAAAAAAATTAATAAAAAATTTAATTAGAATTTATAGAGTATTTAAAAAGTATTATTATTTTTAAGTTAATCAGCATTTATAGTAAATTTTTTAAAAAATAAAATAAATTTAATCAGCATTTATATTGTATTTAAAAACAAAATTTATTAATACTAATAATAAATTTTAAAAAAAATAATAATTAATTACCCATAAAAACAATGAGCAGCCGTTAGTACATTGATCAGTGATCCGCCACAATATTCAAATTGGTTGTCACCGGTCGGCACTTTAATTAGTGTCTGATACGGGAATTGATTGATAGATACCGGACTACCACCGATAAGTCGGTATATAAGTGATGGGTAGGCGCCCATCACCGCTACCATTGTATAATGTATTGAAAATTATACATAAAACAAGTAGTCTAGTAATAAACATTATTTATTTAAATAATAAAAATATAATAATAAATTTAATTATAATATAGTAATAAAATAATATTAATATTTTAATCAATATATATAAATTTTCTTAGATGATACTGATGCTTTTATTAAAAATAAAATAAAATAATATAATATTTGTTTATTTAGTAAATTTAGCCAATTAATACTACTAATGATGAAATCAATTTTAATGACTAAATATTTATTTTTAATTGTTTAACTCTAAACTAAAAATTTTTTGTAATAATAATAATTGAAATAATAATTATTTTAGAAAAATAATATTAAATAAACAAACTATATTGTTATTATAAAACAATACAAATTAAAAATAATTTTTAAAAAATCATTTACGTATTTTGTACTTAATTTCTAAGTAATTAATTTTTTTAGTTTTACTATTCAAATATTATTATTATAAAAAAATATATTAAATTTTATTAAATTATTACTTAATCATTTTAGTTATAATCATGTTTTTTATATTAAAAAAATAGTAAAGGTATATAACTTATATAATAATATTATATTCAATTTTTAAATATATTTTATATAATATACAGTATATTAAATATTTAAAAAAAAAATAAATCAATTAAAAACTATTTGGAAAAAGTATTATAAATATTTTTTTAAATATTTTTTAAAAAGGGATTAATTTAAATATAAACTATTAAATTTTTGTATTAACTTTATTGTAAATTAAAAATAAAATTGCAATTTACAAACACTAATGTTTAGCGATAAATAATAATAATAATATTTAATTATATTTAAAAAAAATTGTTAATTAAGTTAACTTAAAATAATATTTTATTTTATAACTTTTATCTTCTTGATTATAATAATAATAAAATTATTATTATTATACACCTGAAATATTTTTGATCCATTTGCGATAGACGGCAACATTCATATAGATATCAGGATTACCGTTACCGCAGGGACGGGGACCGGTAGATAGCACACCTATTTGCTGGCCACTAAGCACCAATGGACCGCCTGAATCACCCTGGTGAATAATAGACCAATAGACATATTGTTAATAAATTATATATACTATATATATATATATATATATATCTATATATATTATATATATATCTATCTATATCTATATATATATATATACTATATATATCTATATATATATCTATATATATCTATATATATATTATATATATAGATATATAGATATATAGATATATATATATACTATCTATATCTATATATATACTATATATATCTATAATATAAAATATAATATATATAAAAATAATTCTAGAAGATATTAACTAAAATTAATTAATTAAAGTAAAATTAATCTAGGTATTATTATTATTATTATTTTATTATATAGATAGATAGATAGATAGATAGAAAGCAAATACATACACGACATGAACCGGTTCTGCCACTACTAGTTGTGCACAGATTATTATCGGATAGTTTCAGATTTGGATAAATATGTTTGCATTTATCCAAACTAGTAGTCCTGACGTCCAGCTGTTGTAACTGTTCAGATGGTTCAGCCGACACAGGCGTCAGATAACCCCAACCGGTAATCACTGACCAGGTATCAGGTCGTATAGGACCCCGGTTGCCATCGTTCAATTTAATTGGCCGAATTGATTTGTCCAATGTAAACGGTTTGTCCAATTCTACCAGTGCTATATCGTTGACAATTACCAGACTTGATCCGCCATAGTCTGAATGTAACACAATTTTTTTAGCCGATCTGGTTTGACCATCAGATGATGATGATATTAATGTACGACCAGCTATTAATTGGATATTTTTTTGGGTACGTCTAGATACATAAGCATTTTTTTTAAAAAAAACCACAAATTTAATCAGGATTAATTATTTTTTTTTTAAAATAATAATAATAATAATAATAGAGAGAGAGAGACAGAGAGACAGAGAGAGACAGAGAGAGACAGAGAGAGAGACAGAGAGAGACAGAGAGAGAGACAGAGAGAGAGACAGAGAGAGACAGAGAGAGACAGAGAGAGAGACAGAGAGAGACAGAGAGAGAGACAGAGAGAGAGACAGAGAGAGACAGAGAGAGACAGAGAGAGACAGAGACAGAGAGAGACAGAGAGAGAGACAGAGAGAGACAGAGAGAGACAGAGAGAGACAGAGAGAGAGACAGAGAGAGAGACAGAGAGAGACAGAGAGAGACAGAGAGAGAGAGAGACAGAGAGAGACAGAGAGAGAGACAGAGAGAGAGACAATATCCAGGATTTGTATCCCCCGTTTTTACAATGATTGCATGCACGGGGTTTTGAGAACCCTTAAACTATGTTTCTCTCCAGTATTGTTGGTTATACTGTGTATAGCACTCATAACCGCCGAGAGTGCAGTAGTTAGAGGAGTACCCCTATTAACGATAGGACAGCATTATATATGCGGACAGTTCTTCGTACACATATTATCTGTTTCCTCGCGTTAAAAATCCCAACAAACTTAGGTGGCCCGTCCGGGTATCGATCTCGGGTTGTCGTACTCGAAAGCCGACAACTTAGCCTTTCGGCCACCGAGGCCCCATAAGACAGACAGACAGACAGACAGGCAGAGAGACTAGAGTTTAATTATTATTATATTTACATGTTAAAATTATTTACTATTATACATATACAGTATATATCGATATATATTTACTATATATATGGTAAATATATAAATATATTGCTATACAATATATGCTATATATTGATATTATATAACTATAGCAATAAACTTTTACTTATATATTAATTTATATCATTTTATTTATTTTTTGTAATTTAATACAAAACTTTAATTATTTTTAATTTTAACTATTTAATAACTTTATAATTATTTATTAATTTGTTTTCTTTCTCACTTTTTTTCGCATTGAAATTACATGACGAGGTGGCCGAGTGGTTAAGGCGATGGACTGCTAATCCATTGGGCTCTGCCCGCGTGGGTTCGAATCCCATCCTCGTCGATTGTATTTTTGTTCATATTTTCTGCTATCAACAATAATTGTTAATGTGATAAATGTTTTAATAGATATACAGTATTAATAGATATGTTAATTTAAATATCATAAGATAATAAGAATTAATTTTTAAAAAAAAAAACAATTATAAATTATTGATGCTTAAAATTATTATGCTATTTAATATAACAATTATTATATAATATACAATTTCTAATAACTACTTAAACTATTAATTATAATTAGTTAATTTTTTAGAGAAACAATAACATAATATATTATGTAATTAAGATTATATAATATAGATAATTTTGAAAAATATAATTTAAAGTAAAACATATTATTTTAAAAAATAAAAAAAATTAATTTTAAGTTTTAATACTTATAAAATTAGTATAAATCAAATATATAAAAAATAGAAAAAAATTTAAAGTAAAATATAATAGAAAATAAAATCTATAATAATAATAATAATAAATTAAAACTATTGAAACTATAATTTAAAAAATAATGTAATTAAATTCATAAATTATATGTAGTATTAAATTTATTATATATATATATATATTACATAATAAATAGGAGTTTATAAAATAAATTAAATTCAAATTAAATGTTAAAACTATTTAATTATAACTTAATTAACACAATTGTTATGAATATATTATTTATTATTTTTTTTTGAAAAATATTAAACATTTAAGTTATTAATTATATATATAATTAAATTTATAAATAAAATATTGACTTTTAACGACTACAACAATAACATTTGCCACCAATTAGACAACACTGAGGATAGGGACCACTGCAACAGTAGATCATTGAACAGGGAGACGAACATATATAACAGTCATTGGATTTAATACCAGTCCTATTGGCAATCATATGACCTATAGATGGATGGATCGGTAGATAAATAAAGTAATGATTTTACATTAAAATGTTATATAATTATTGAATGCAAACCCTCTTCAAAGTCATAGACTTTTTTCAATGTCTTTGAATAATCCAAATCATTGTCAGACAAAACTGAAATTAAATAAAATTAAAAATAAATATTTTTTTTTTAATAATTAGTTTTTGTTTTTTATAAATTAATTTTAATACAAACCCAAAGCAATGAATGTTAGCAACAAAACCGATACAACTATTGAACGCATTTTTATTATAATTATAATACAGTATTTGATTAATAATTATAATTAATATCAAATGTAATATTTATTTTTAATAATAATATTTATGTTTTGTTTTCTTTTATAAACTAAATTCAATGACTTTATATACCCATAAAATTTTTCAATTTTTGATTTACTTAATTATTAAATCCAATTATTAATGCAATAATGAGTTTTATCTAAACGTTTTTTAAATCAATACTTTTTTTCCAAATAAATAAATAATTATTTATCTTACAATAAAATAGCATTATATAAACCAAAATATTAATTAATTAATTTTTCTAATTTATTACAAATCTTTTTTTGTTTTTGTTATTTACGGATATTTAATATATATATATATATCTATATTATATACTGTATATAATATACTATATATATATATATATACTTATATATATATATATATATATATATATTATAATCAGTTTAATCATTTATTAGTGCAATTCAATTATAAAAAAATAACAATTAAATTTAAGTCAAACATTGGAAAATTATTTTCACTATAATTTATTTTGTTTTTTTTAATCAATTTTATCAATTTATACTTATTTACATTACACTTAAAAAAATTATATAGAAAAACAATTAATTATTTAATATAATTTTTAATAAAAAAAATTAGAAATTTAATTTTTATATTAATACTATTTTTATATAAATTATAGATTAATACTGTATTTATTTGTTAAATAATAGTATAAGTTTAAGAATAATTTTTTTAATATTAAGTCCAGTATTAATTAAATGTGATTTATTTTTTGGATACATTGACTACTGGCCTATTGATGAGCTCCGGTATGTTATTAAATAATATTGTATAATATACAGTACATGAAAATTTACAAATATATATATATAATATATATATACATATCGATAGTTTTATTCAAAATTATAGATTTAAAAAATATATATATAAACAACTTGTTTGACTTAATAAACTATATATTTAAAAAAAATTTATTAAAAAAATTAAACATTTATGTTATTTATAGATATATATATATATATATAAATTATTATGTTTGTTAAATAAAAATAAATAAAATTTTAATTTAAAAAAATAATAATATTTTATTATAGCTTAAAAAATTGTTAACTTTAGAAATTAATTTTATAATTTCAATATTATTTATAATAATTTTATTCAAAATGTATTTAACGACTACAACACCGACATTGGCCGCCAACCAGACAACACTGAGGGTATGAACCACTGCAACAATAGTAGGCCGAACAGGGAGACGAACATATATAACAGTCATTGGATTTAATACCAGTCCTATTGTTGGCAATCATATGACCTATAGATGAATCGGTAGATAATTAGTTTATATTCAATTTTTTATTAAAATGTTTAGCTATTATATAATAATAATCATTATTATATTTACATTTTTTAAAAAATTGTTAAAAATAAGTCAAAACTTAATATTTAAAATCTATTATTTACTATATATAAAATTATATATATATATATACATATAGTCAGGGTTTTAAAAATGGCAGGCATAAACAATAGATGCCAATTTTTCCAAATGCCTGCCCTGCCTCTGCCATGCCCTGGGCATATATTTTCAGGTGGTGACACCTATTATTTTAATTTTATATTATTAATTAATTTATAAAACATTGTTTTTATAATATATTTGCTTGTATTTTTGTTTTGAATACCTTTAATTAAAAGGTAATATCATTGGAAATAAATAAATTAATTGTAAATTTAATTAACACGTTAAAACACTAAATTACATTATTTTTATAAATACAACTAGTTTAACCCGCGCAACGTCTATAACCGTGCAATTCTTATACTAATTTTAAAATATTCATTTCATAAGTAATTTGAATGAGACTTAATTTGTCTATACAACTACTACATAACCTAATGTAACAAAACTACTGAACCAATACACATTATTTCGTCTAAACTTTTGAGAATTTTTAGTTTTTATATAAATTTAAATAATTTTAACAAAAATTGAAAATTTAATCGTTTTTTCGAAAAAAATTTGCATTTGAGAAAATTTTACAAAAATTTAGCACAGGTAGGTTACCTCCCGGTGCCCTAATATAGCAAAGTGTAATTACACAACACCTGCCTACCTGTCCTTAAAACCTACCAGTGCTAAATAAACATTTAAAATTTCCCATAGAAATAACATTACTTTAAATAAAAATTGAAAATATAACAATACATTTTTAGATTTGAATTAAAATATGGTTGTTGATGAAATGTGCACGCATACAAACAGAACTATTATCTTAAAGTGTTATATTGATTGCTTTTTAGCAATTTAAATTGGCAGGCAAATAAAATAGATGCCCAAAATGCCAGGCATTTATGGCATCTATTTGGGCATTGCCAGGGCAGGCATTTATTTTCTTAAAACCCTGCATATAGTATAAAGATATTTGTGACTGTAGATATGGCAACACATTTTCATGGATAGGTAATGAAAATGATTTACAAATAACACCAAAACGTATTTTGGTCACCAATCAGCTGTTTGTGTTACCCGATGTTCAACAATAGCACTGATAGTATCGACAACAACACAACAACAACAATAGCATCTACTGTTGATACTAATACTGTTGACCAACCATTCAATATGACAACCATTTCTAATAAAAACAGCTTATCAATGAAGAGCACTTGGAGTCGGGAAGAAAATCAAGTTTGGTGTACGTAAACGTATATAATTGTTATTTAAATAATAATAATAATTATTATTATAATTATTATAAATTAATAAATAAATTTAATTTTAATTTATAATTAAGTTTATATTAAATACATCCGTTCAATTTCTATTATACTGGTCATCATATTTTTTGACATCAAATGTCAAATAATAGCTAATAACAGCCAAATAGCTGTTTAAAATTTTTGTTGTCCAAATGGATATCGGATTTCTTAAATTAATTTTAATTACTATTCTTGATTAAATACAATCTACTAATTAATATTATGAGTTAAAATATAAATTTAACTCATAATTAGAATTTATCTATTAATTAAATAAAACAATTTAAGTTTTTAAAAACTTAAATACTTTCAAAATAATTTTCATAAATTTCAATAAATTTGTTAATTAATTGATAGAAAATTGTATCGTCAGTACTGTTGTCCAGATATTTTTGTTTCATAACAATTAACTCGCGTTTGACAAACTCCTTGGACTCGTTTTTGATATCCAATTCGTCATACAATTGTTTGATCAATTGGACAGCACTGGGATCCTTGAGTCCATAATTAGCCAATAGCAGTGACTTTTGGCTATTGTTAGCCAACTGTAGTGCCCTAACGTAAAGCCAGGAACACTTGCCCTCAACAATATCGGTGCCATCTGTTTGAAAATCTTCCAAATCATTGGTAACGCCTTGCAAAACGGATAATGTGGTCAATATGTCATCAATTTTGTCCAAATGATCGTATGATGATTGACCCGATATATACATAGCTAAACATAATAATAATAATAATAATAATAATAACATCAAAACATAAATAATTGAAATTATTTTTTTAATTATTTTACAAATTAATTAAATTATATATATATATATATATATATATATATATATATACAGTATTGGACAAAACAATCTGTGAAAGGTTTGAGACATAATATCTTAAAAACTACTGGATCAATTTTGGATACTGTTTATGGTATGGGTAGAGTATATAATCTAGTTTATATAAAATTAACAAAAATTGTTCAAAAATAATATAAGTAATTTTTAAAAATTAATTAAAAAAATGACAAAATGTATGGAAGCAGCCCTTAATACTGGTAACGATGCTAATGAAAAACACAAAACTTTTCACTACTTATATTATTATAACTTTTAAATGACTAATTTAATAAAAAAAAAATTAATATTAATTATATGAAATCTTGATTATATACACTACATTTACGACTAAACAGTAGTTCAAAATTGATCCAGTAGTTTTTAAGATATATAAATTTTCACAGATTGTTTTGTCCAATACTGTATATATATATATATCTACTTAATTGTGTAACTACTAACCCAACAAAAATGAACCGGTAGATATAGAAGCATACTTTGATTTAGTAATAAGCCTATAGTTTGTATAGTTATACAAATTAAGATCAACATTGCTGTTAAGTGAACGACTAAACTGCATGTCCAACATCTGGCCGTAGGCTGTCTTCTCAATAAACTATAGGAGTAATCGAGTTATTGATAATCAAACAAACAAACAAACAAACAAACAAAACAAATAAATATTATATTAATAATTGTCTAATAATTATGATATTTACTAATAAATGATATACTGATATACTATACTTATTAACAAACCTCTTGAACGCAGTGAACAATTTCTACATAATTTTGATGATCACTAAAATATAGTTTAATAATCTTATAGATTGCCGACAATACTATAGTACTATCGTTTAGGGCCGACATACCGACTGTAGGCTATAATTAAAATAAAAAAACATTATATAACATTAAAAATAACTGTTTTTTATGTGTGTTTTAGTTTTAATACGTAATAATAATAATAATAATAAATGTAAAAATTCATTATTATTTCTATACCAATGTGTGCCAACACGGCTGTCCTCTGCGAGTGTCCGATCCATCCATAACATCGTCCAATATATCAAAGTAAAACTTTGTCAGCTCAATAGCCCAGGACATTGGATAGACTCGGTCATCAAATTTATGATCACCCGGTTTATGGCCAGTCATTACACTGTACGCCACTATAAGTATTCTGGCAAAACCATCGACCTCCAGATCCCCTACATTATAGTTAAACATTTTGTTTAAAGTCGATCTCAAAACATTGTAATCCGACTCTAATGAGTTGTCCAAAACTTTATCGATTATCGGATTAAACATCCGCTGAAACTCATGTAAACCATCGGTTAATTGTTTGTCTTCAGACATTTCTTGTAATTTTAATTAATATATATATTTATATATATATTATTAAAAAAATATTTTATAAATTTTAGTAAAATATTTTTTTATAAACTTTTAATATACTGTATACTTATATATTTGCAATACAATTGACACATATATTATAATTAAGAATATTATAGACAAATAAAAATTTGCTTACTAATAATGTATAAGATATTAATTAGCAATTATTAATTAATAATTGTTTTTAGGTAGTAAAATGATATTGATTTTTTTATTTTTTTTTAATAAATTTTTTGTTAGTATCATTAGCTTATGATAACTATAAAAGTTAGCTAACTATTTAATGAATGATAATTGAATTTTTTTGTCACACAATAATAACATTTTTTTGTAATAATTATTATTATAATAATTAGTGTTTTGTATTGTATTGCATTTATATTATATAGCTATAAACTTTTACTTGTATATTATTTTTTTTTAGAAAAACAATAACATTATATATTTTATATAATTTAGATTATAAATTATAGATAATTTTTTAAAAATATATTGTACAGTAAAACATATATTTTCAACAACAAAAAAATTTATTTTCATTTACAATTTAAGTTTTAATACTTATAGAATTAGTATAAATCAAAATAATATCTATAATAATAATAAATTAAAACATAAATAAAAACAATTGAAACTATAATTTTAAAAATGTTGTAATTAAATTCATAAATTTTATATAGTATTAAAAAAATATATAATAAATTATAGTTTGTAAAAAAATAAATACAAATTATATTATTATTATTTTTGTTAATATATTATTTAATAAAAAAATATATATATTTATTAAACATTTAAGTTATTAGTTATATATATATATATATTACATATAGCACTATATAATTGAATTTACTACTAATAATGATTTGTTTTTAATTATACAAAATAAAAAATTTAGAAATTTATTATGTATTAATAATTGATTACAGATTTTAAAAATTAACAAATTTTATTTTTTATTATAAATATAGTGGAATGTATTATATATATAAGTAAAATATAATTAAATTTTTAAATCAAATAATTAATGTCTTTTAACGACTACAACAATAACATTTGCCACCAATTAGACAACACTGAGGATAGGGACCACTGCAACAGTAGATCATTGAACAGGGAGACGAACATATATAACAGTCATTGGATTTAATACCAGTGCTGTTAACAATCATATGACCTATAGATGGATGGATCGGTAGGTAAATTAAAGTAATGATTTTACATTAAAATGTTATATAATTTTTTGATTAAATGAATGAATGCAAACCCTCTTCAAAGTCATAGACTTTTTTCAATGTCTTTGAATAATCCAAATCATTGTCAGACAAAACTGAAATTAAATAAAATTAAAAATAAATATTTTTTTTTTAATAATTAGTTTGGTTTTTATAACTAAAATTTAATACAAACCCAAAGCAATGAATGTTAGCAACAAAACCGATACAACTATTGAACGCATTATTTAATAATTATAATTAATATCAAATATAATATTTATTTTTATAATAATATTTATGTTTTGTTTGTCTTTATAAACTAAATTCAATGTCTTTATATACCCATAAAATTTTTCAATTTTTTATTTACTTAATTATTAAACTATATTAATGCAATAATGAGTTTTATCTAAACGTTTTTTAAATCAATACTTTTTTTCCAATAAAGAAATAATTATTTATCTTACAATAAAATAGCATTATATAAACCAAAATATTAATCAATTAATTTTTCTAATAATTATTATAAATCTTTTAATAAGATTTTTGTTATTTACGGATATTTAATATATATTTAAAATGTATATATATATATATATATATAATAATAATAATAATAATCAGTTTAATCATTTATTAGTGCAATTCAATTATAAAAAAATAACAATTAAATTTAAGTCAACAAACATTGGAAAATTATTTTCATTATAATTTATTTTGCTTTTTTTAATCAATTATATCAATTTATACTTATTTACATTACACTTATAAAATTATTTTTTTTATATAGAAAAACAATTAATTATGTAATATAATTGTTAATAAAAAAATTATTTATTTATAAAATTAATTAAAATTTTATATAAGTTTTAAATAGTTTAAATTATAAATTAATACTGTATTTATTTGTTATACATAATAGTATAATACTAAAAATTTATGAAAATTTTTAATATTAAGTCCAGTATTAATTAAATGTGATTTATTTTTTGGATACATTGACTACTGGCCTATTGATGAGCTCCGGTATGTCAATGAATAATATTGTATAATATACAGTAAATATATATATATACTAATATATAAACATATCGATAGTTTTATTAAAAATTATAGATTTAAAAAATATATATTTAAACAACTTATTTGATTTAATAAATTAAATATTTAAAATTATTTTATTAAAAAATTAAATAAATATGTATAGAGTTTACATATATATACAGTATATATATATTATCGTATATTACTATACTGTATACAGTGTATAACATAATATTTATACAATATATGATTTTAAATAAAAATAAATACATTTTTAATTTAAAAAAAATTGTTAATTTTTTGAAATTAAATTTATAATTTCAGTATTACTTATAATAATTTTATTCAAAATGTATTTAACGACTACAACACCGACATTGGCCGCCAACCAGACAACACTGAGGGTATGAACCACTACAACAATAGTAGGCCGAACAGGGAGACGAACATATATAACAGTCATTGGATTTAATACCAGTCCTATTGTTGGCAATCATATGACCTATAGATGGATGGATCGGTAGATAATTAAAGTAATGATTTTTTATTAAATATTAAAATGTTATATAATTTTTTGATTAAATGAATGAATGCAAACCCTCTTCAAAGTTATAGACTTTTTTCAATGTCTTTGAATAATCCAAATCATTGTCAGACAAAACTAATAAATAAAATTAAAAAAAAATTAATATTTAATAATTAGTTTTTGTTTTTTATAAATCAATTTAATACAAACCCAAAGCAATGAATGTCAGCAAACAAAAAACCGATACAATTATTGAACGCATTTTTTAAAAAAATAATTATAATATTAGTTTATAATTAATATAAAAAATATAAAAATTTATTTGATTTCTCTATAAACTATAATTTCAATGTCTTTATATATATATACCATAATTTTTTTTACTTATTATTTACTTAATTATAACTTTATTAATGCAATAATTTGTTTTTATCTAAACGTTTTAAAAATAATCTTTTTTTTCCACAATAAATAAATAAATATTACTTATCTTTTAATATTAAAAAAATAGTATTATATAATTAAAACAAAAAAAATTAAGTTTATTAAATAATAATGATAATAATAATAATATCAATTACATTTTGTTTATATTTCTAGTAATTATTGTTATAAATTTTAATTTGATATTATTTGATAATTTATAAATTAAAAAACAATTTTATTTTTTTCATATTTACTGATATTTAGTAGATATTTTAAAAAATATATATATTTATTTAAATAAACTGTAAATTATAATCAATTGAGCTTATAATCATTTATTAGTGCAATTCAATAATAAAAAAAAACAATTAAATTTCAAAGTCAATAAATATTGCATTATTTTTTGTTGTTGATAAATAATCTCTGTTTTCATTTAAATTTATATAATTTATTTTACAACAAAAAATAAAATAAGATTATTATGAAATATATTAATTTTTTATTGATAATTAATTTAACAATTATAGAGAAAACTTTTTATTTAATGGAAAACTATGTAAAAACTAAATTTATTATTATTTTAATATAATTTTAATATAATTTTAATATGCAATTTGTTAATTAAAATTTATTTATATATTTTTTATTTTCATAATCTTATTGAAACTTTTGTTTAGTATATTTTATTATAATCTAAAAAAATGTTTGTTTTAACATATATTATATAATTTAATTTATAAAAAAATAGTTAATGCTAAAATTGTAGTTAAAACTAAATATATTGCTAATTTGTTATTTTGCAAAAATTTTATTAATATATTTTTTAATAAATCATAATTAAATTTTAAAAGATTAATATTTTATAATATTTATTGTTGTTTTTTTTATTTATTTAAGTATAACTTAAAAATATATAATTATAATATTTTTAAAAATATAAAACTAATATAATAATAAATAGGATATATACCAACAACAAAAATTCACAAAAATTAATATGTAAATAGTTTGTGAAAAATAAAATAAAGTTTTCTAAATATTTATTTATTATAACTTAAAACAATTGTTATTATCAGTAAATTATTATTATTATTATTATTTAAAAAATAAAAAATTATTATTACATATTTAATTTTTTATTTATTTAATATATATTTATTAATTTAATGTATTACATACATGTATATATATATATATATATATAGTTGAAAATATAATTAATTACTTAAAAAATAATTTATTTTTTTTAATTAAAATATTTTTTCAACGATTACAACACCGACATTGGCCGTCAATAATACAACAAATAGGATCCGTATAATTGCAGCAAATGATTGAACAGGGAGGTTGAGGCCAACATTGAAAACAGTCAACTGATTCAATAATACCAGTGCTGTTGGTGTTGTTGTTGTTGTTGTGGACAACCATATGATAACCTATAGACCTATAGTTGAAATATCGGTTGAATTATTTGAATTAATTTTTTTTTAAAAATTTAACATTGTTTTTATTAATTATTAAATGCAAACCATTTTTTGTTGAAGTCATAGACGGTATATGTTTTAGTAGTCGACAACAGTTTGTCTTTCAATGACTTTGGATAAACCAAATCATTGTTTAATAAAACTTTTTTTTATATATAATTTAAATAAAATATTTCAATAATAACTTAGTTTTTTTTTAAAAACTTTTAAATATATATCAAATATAATACAAACCCAAAACAATAAATGCCAGCAAAAAAACCGATACAACTATTGATCGCATTGTTAGTCTAATTGTATATTAGATTAAAATTTTAATTTTTTTAAAAACATTTGTTTTATTTAGTAATGATTTTTTTCTGAATCAGTTTTAAATGTTTATATATATAATATATATATTTATATACAGTATATATATATATATATATATATATATATATATATATATATATATATATATATATATATCTTAAAAATTTAATTGTTTTCATAACTTAATCTTTTTTTTATCTCTAAAAAAATTTTATTTTCTAAAATTAATTACTAACTTATCTAAAAATTAATAAATAATTACCAAACAGTTTACTGTATTACATTAACAAACTTTATAATCTTTAAAATTACCTTGATAATTTTGTTGTTGTTGCACATTTTTATTTTCAATACAACAACCAACAAAAATATTATTTACTTAAACTACAGTAAACTTAAATATTGATAAAAAAAATAAATAAATCTAATTAGAAATATAATATAACTTAATATTTATGTAATACCTTAACAAATATTTACATTATTATTACATTATATACATCATTAACATCATTAACATTATGAAAAAAAATTAAAATTTTATATTCAATATTAATTTTAAACATTTAAACATTAAAATATATATTTAAAAAACATTATTTTATTTATTTTTTAAATTTTCTAATAATAAGTTGTATCCAATTATATTATACAAAACAAAACAAAAATAGTTAATAATTTATTATGTAATTAAATTGATAACAGTTGATAAATTGTATTAATTAATTAATTTTATTACATTATTAATAAGTATAGTACATATCTATTACATATAAATTGAATTTTGTTTTTTAATCAAATATGTCTTTTTATTTAACGACTACAACACCGACATTGGCCGCCAACCAGACAACACTGAGGGTATGAACCACTGCAACAATAGTAGGCCGAACAGGGAGACGAACATATATAACAGTCATTGGATTTAATACCAGTCCTATTGTTGGCAATCATATGACCTAATGGATGGATGGATCGGTAGATAATTAAAGTAATGATTTTTTATTAAATATTAAAATGTTATATAATTTTTTGATTAAATGAATGAATGCAAACCCTCTTCAAAGTTATAGACTTTTTTCAATGTCTTTGAATACTTCAAATCATTGTCAGACAAAACTAATAAATAAAATAAAAAAAATTTTTTAATAATAGTTTTGTTTTTATAAATCAATTTATAATACAAACCCAAAGCAATGAATGTTAGCAACAAAACCGATACAACTATTGAACGCATTGTGTTATATAAATGTTTAGTTAATTTAATAATTATTATATTTATTAAAATATTAATTTATTTTTTGATATCTTATTGTTTTTTTCTAAAGCAATTTGCTTACTATATATACCTTTAAAAAAATTTAATTGTTTTACTCAATTGAAATGCAATTGTTTTTTTTATCTCAATGGTTGCAATATTTGTTTGTTATTTTTTTCAAATATATAAATATATAATAATTATCAATTGTATGAATTAAATAATATAATTTTGTTTTAACTAATATACAGTATATTAAACTGTATATCTATGTATAAAAAAGATAAAAAATTACTGTTATATAATAATAATAATAATATTATTATTATTATTATTTATCTTTACCTGTACTTAACTATACAATAATGATTAAAACTAGTAAATCAAAATAAAATTGTATATTTAAAAAAATAGTAAAAATAAGTAAATTTTAATTAAAAAAACATTTGAATACATAATATAATAGATTTTTAGTTTATTATAAACTGATATTTAATTTATTGTTTAAAAAATTGTAAAATTCTTAACAATTTATTATTTCAAATTTTAATTTATTTTTAATAACATATTTATTTATTTATTTTTTAAGTTTATTAAATTTCAATTTTAAAAGTTTATTAATATTTTATATAAATTTAGTTTTGTTAACCTAGAAAAAATGCTGCAAATATTATAACAATTTTTTTTTAATTTTACTAATTATTACATATTTTAATTGAAATAAATTATCGCACGCTTTATTTTTTTTATTTATATTTATATTACAAACTAAATATTTACAAACTATTTGTTTATAATATTTATTTGTTTAACTAATTATCTGATAAAAAGTTTGATATTAATATTATATAATTAATTACTAATATATATAATTAGTTTGTAATTAATATTAAATAATTGACATTGTTAAAAATAAAATAATATTATTTATTTTTGTACATTATACATAAATTTTTAAAAATTTCAATATATATATATCTCCTAACTGTTTAAAAATAATACATTAAACTTATGCTAAGTGTTTAAATTGTTGGCCAGCGGTAATTCGCGCGCATTCATCAGCCAATCAAAATTGATTTCTAATTTCATTGTTATATTAATTAAGTACAGTATGTGCCAAATATATAAACAAATTTCACTTATAAATATATTTATTAATAATATTTATTATAAAGTTATTTGAAATATTATTTAATTAAAGAAAATGTATAAATTATATTTAAAACAATAAGTAATTTACATAATAGTTACATACGAGTTATATTACACATACAGTAATATTTAAATATAATATTGGATAATAAAAAAAAATAATTACAAATATAAATTATCATATTAAGAATATTAAATTTTAATAATTAAAAGTATTAAATAATATTTATATAATTATTAAAATATAATAAAAATCTATTATTTTTTACTATAATATAATTAAGTTATAATCAAATAAAACTTAAAATTAATAAAAAAATTACATTTAATAAAAAAGTAAAAGTATAAATTATTAGTATTACACACAAAAAAGTCTACAAATAATATAAATGTATTAAACAAAAAATGTTATTTAAAAACAATATTTAAACAAAAATTATAATACAATTAAATATAAAGAACAAATAAACACGAAAATCAAGTTTAAAATATACATTTTAAAAACATTTTAATTATTAAATCAATATAATTAATAATTAATTAATTAAAATCAGTCATACAAAGCATTTGAGAAAATCCAATCATAAAGTTGAATAATTTTTATTTTAAAAATATATATTGTTATGGTATCAAAACTATCGCATAATGATATAAATGCCATTTATATAATCTCAACAATATATTTTTTTCAAAATAAAAATTCACAAACTGACCCTTATATATTTTGCATTAATATGAGGTGATGTCTCAAATGAACTGTATCTTTGATTAAAATATCAACAAAATTTGATATATTAAATATTTAATTAAGCAATTATTTTATATCCAAGATGTTTTTGGAAACATGACAGTGATTTGTCCATCGTCTTTGCACATAATGGTTTTTTGCAACTTTCACACATAAATGATGTTTGCTTACGTGGTTTTTGATCTTTGAAACAAATATAACAATCCATAACATTTGATCTGCTGGTAGATTTAATTGATACGAGTTTTGAGTTAACACAACTATTACGAAATACATTGTGATGGATATGTTCAGTATTATTGATTAAACGAATAGCGATTTGCTTTTTGAAAGCTTCTGATGGCATTGGTTTAATAGTTGATGATTTGTAAATAACATAACAGTTATTCATCGACACATTTGTAATTAAATGCCAAACTACTTGGGGCCAAAATGCTACTCGATGGCTGTAGTGATGGTAACTCAGTTTTTGGTCATATATATCTACACCCGCCATAAATTTTGTGTACTGTCGAATAATGTTTGGGACATTTATTGTTGATGTGATATTTTGTGATAAAATACGTTCTTTTTGGACTTCTCCTTTAGTTAAATGTGTCGATATTGCAGTAACTAATTTATTGTCAAACCATTGAACACAACATATTTTCCCATTTCGCATATAGATGGGACCTCTTTTTGTTTTGTTCAATTTTTCAGAGTTAGTGAATGGCTTTTTGAAATTAATAGGAAGTCCTTTGCGGTTGATTCTGATAGTACCTGTGATACCAATATTTCGATTTATTAATGATTTGGCCAAAGGTATTGATGTATAAAAATTATCGGTGTAAACTTCATGACCAGAAAATTCACCAACATGTTCTAACAATTTCAAAACAATTTGTTCACTAAAGCTTTCTGTCCCTTTATCATTAGTGGAATGGCAATGCCAATTTAGCATAAATCCTGTTGAGGATTCGCAAAGAACGTAAAACTTAATACCGCGCTTATGGGATTTATTAGGCATGTATTGAGCTTGGCTAAATTTGCCATGAAATCCAATCAAACTTTCATCAACTGTTAATTCCTTGTTTGGTTGATACAATAGTTGACTGATTTTAGGCATATGGTCTAATAATAATCTTACTCTAAACAATGGGTCATTAAGTTCCATAGTTGCAATATCTGAATTTTGATTGTGAAAATGCATAGAACGTTTGATTGTCAGATATCTCTGTTGTGTCATTGCATTAGAAATTAATTCTGTTTTATAAAGCGAATCGTTTGACCAATGAGACTTTTCTTGTGGAATTTGCTTTAATCCCATCAATATTTGGATACCAATAAAAATTTTAAGTTCATTCAAATTAATTAGTTCAAAATTGTCTCTGTGTTTTAGTCCATATTCATTGGAACAATTAAGAATATTTTGTAAAAATTCATCGCAAAAGTATTGTTCAAACAGTAAAGTAGGATTTGCGGGTATGTCAATGAGTGCACCTGGTGTTTTATCAAAATGAGGCAACCAATCATTTGCGTCACAATTATCACACTCCCATAAATCACTAATGTCATTTATTTGTGAACTAACGAAATTTTCATTATCACTATTGTCACTGTTTTCAATATCACATTCATTATTATTATTATTATTATCACTATTAAACACTAATGAATAAATTTCATCATCCTCACTAGAATCATTCAAATCCATTCTGTAATTATATTAATAAAAAACAAAAATATTTAGTTATTAAAATGAAATTAATATTAAAAACAATTCTATTTTTATAATTTGATTGGTTAATTTGTAATTATGTTCATAAAAGTTGTTTTTTATTTGTCTGAAAATTTGATATCTACATTCATACCGCGAAGCATATATATTTACAATAAATTATATAATTTAGGATTTGTTATAATGTTTTTAATAATTAAGTTTTAAGCGTTAATTAATGCATAACTTTAATATGTTTTCAAGACATAGTGTTTCTTAGAAATTTTCTATGTATTTTTCAATATATATATTAGTACACAAATTTATTTTAATTTTTATTAATTTTTCTACAATTAAAAAATCTTATTTTTTCTTCAAAAATTTGTTTTTCAACAAATTCACAAAATAATCTATGAAATTTGAATGCGGCTAATTTATATACTAGATTTTTATAATCATTATAATTAGTGGGAATATCTATATAAATTTTTGGAAATGATGGGACAATTAACTCAAATTTTTTAAATTTTGTGAAATTTTTTGGATTATTTTTCTGATATTTTTTAAATGTTTTAATATAGTTAAATTTATGATTATTTAAACTATAACATATTGTAAAAAAATTTAATGCTTTTTTTGGGTTTTTATTAATATTTATAGCAAATGATTCTGGGGTATATTTAGACAATCGCTTATATTTATTATTAATTAAAATATGAGCTGTTGTCATAATTTTGAAAAAATTATATTTAAATATTTTTATTTTAAAAATAAATATTGTTATAGTAATAAAACTATTTTATCGCTTTAAATTTAGATCTCAACAATATATTTTTTTCAAAATAAAAATACCCAAACTGAACCTTATAGATATTTAGCACTAATATGAGTCTCAAACATGAATTAAATGCACTGACACACTATGGAAGTTAGCAATGCTATGCAGTAAAGTCATAACAATAGGCGCTGCAACTATTATACATATAAAGTCAATTTGCATGTATAAGTTAGAGGAAATCTATCGGTGCTTATATGTTTGATGTATGGTCTCAAATGTACTGTATATTTTGAGAAACTGTAACTTTTTTTTAAAAATGTTATAAAATTAATATATATAGCGTATCGTACAAACAAAATTTTAAATTTTTTTTATAACTTGGCATTAAAGCCTAATCCATGAAAATATCTTAAATAGTTAAACAATTTTTACAAAATAAACCTTAAATATAATTAAATCGACAGAATATTTGACAAACAATACGGGTGTAATGTCATCCAGTGTTAGTGTCAATGATTGCAATGATTTCGGTAAAACATACGACTTATAGGCAGTTAATATATCAGTCAATTGGATATTAAAATCATAACTATCAGTGATGTTCAATGTCTTTAAGTTTGGCAAACTAGCGATAATGGGTATAATCGGTTTAGTGAACCGCTGGTCACTACTAATTGATCACCGTATGTGAACAAACAATTCACTGATTATTGTCTGAATTTTGTTAATTGTATAAAACAGTCGTTCAATTGTCAATATTGATGTCCGCTTTGATGAATTGTGTCTTCACATGTAATGAAAGTTTCGGTCAGTTGTTTGAAATAAATCGCCGGTAAAATCAGTATCAAAATTAGTTGACAAAATAATATTCAATTGTCTCAATTGTTTCATTTGTTCAAAACCTGTGATTAATGGCTGATAATTATTATTATCGTCAATAGTTATTTATAAATAAGTCCAATGATGTCAATTGATGGCCTTAAGTATCTTCAAACACGACAAACAGTGCGGCCGTAATGTTGTCCAGTGTTAGTGTCAATGATTGCAATGATTTCGGTAAAACATACGACTTATCGGCAGTTAATATATCAGACAATTGGATATTAAAATCGTAACTATCAGTGATGTTCAATGTCTAAGTTTGACAAACTCGGCAATCCGTACAATCGGTTTAGCAAACCGCTGGTGAGTACTAACTTATCGCTGTATGCGAGCAAACAATCCACTGATTATTGCATCAATTGTGGACACAGTCTCTTAAGAAGTTTACTATCAAATACCAGATGTGTTTCAGTATTGAATATCAATGACTGCCACTGATTGTAGACTTAGTCTGTTATCAATTGCCTGATGTGATGGCCGCCACTGTTCAATGTTTGGCTGAAGACACTGATAACACATAAATACAGTAATCAAGTGATTATACAATCAGTCATACAATTGGGTTATTAGTGTATTTTGATAACAAATACAAATATATATAAACAACAAATAAATTGCAAAAATAGTTTTTAGTCAACAAATGAGTCCATCGAGTGATCGGTTAATAGTTTGGCGTTAAATATGCAGTAAAGGTGTCGACAATTGCCATAACAAACACATATAACATATATTTACTGTAAATTTCACTTCAATGCGATTGTGAGTCCAATACACTAAATCACTGATACATTGCATTCAATAGACAACAACAACACTGTCTATAGGTTTCTCATTCAAGTCAATGTAAAAAATTTAATTATATAAAACTATATTAGCAATAATGTGTTTTACTGTACTAAAAATTTAAGCGCTAAAAATATGATTGATTTTGATTGGTCCAAAAGCTTAAAATTAGATCACGTGGTTTTGTGAAAAATTCACAGAATAATCAGTTAGCGATATATGATTTTTTGTGAATTTTTCACAAATACTATCTCACGAGATATATAGTTTCTTAAGTTTTAAATATAACAATTAATGTTTAATTAATATTAATTTATTAAATAAAAATAAAAATTGTACGATAAATTGTATTTAATTAAAAAATTTAATTTAATTAAAAAAAATATTATCTAATTATGAAAAAATTATAAAACAATTGTATCATTTATATTATTTAGTTATATTTTAATTTTGCTAATCTATAATACAAAATTTTCTATTAAAAAAATAAAATAAAACTGTAACATATAAATAGATTTATTTATTTATATATTTATAATAATATTTTATAATTAATAAAAATAGTCCTATCATGCATTCAGCTTTGTAATATAATTTTTTTAAAATAATTTATTTTATATTTTAAACTATATTAGAAGTTAAATATTTTATTGTTTTTCATATATTTATTTATAAGACCAGTAAATATGTTTATTTAAATTTGTGCCCAAAAATTAATTGTAATTTAAATATTTTAAGTATATATATATATAAATTAACTTGATTCAATATAATTAAATGTTATTAAAAATTGTGAAAACATTTTTTGTAATAGCATTTAGTTTATTATATTTATTAAAATATCGTAATTTAATTAAAAAATATTCAATACATTAATATTATATATATATACTAGTTATTAAATACAAAAAAATACAAAGTGTTGAAAATCTATAAAAGATTTTTTTAAGAAAAAAATTAATCATAATAACATGTATTATTTATTTTATTGTATTAATATTTATTTAAAAAAAATTATATTTATATTATAAAAAATTTATATTATATTATTATTTACAGTTTATAAAGTTTTCAAGCATTTTATTTATTAAAACAAATTAGTTTATTAATTAATTAATTTCTCTCTCTCTCTCTCTCTCTCTCTCTCTCTCTAAAAATTAATTGGCATTTCATCGACGCTAACATTGGCCGTCAATTCAATGTCCAAACCGTTGTGTACACCGCTTACAGTTAGTGTCATCTTTTTATTAGGAGGACGACTGTCCTCCCCATCATCGGTGCCGATATCGTCGACCGCTACGATCAACTGTTTGATATCATTAAACTGTTGGCCATTAATGGCTACTATTGTTTCATCAATTAGTTCACTATAACAACAACAACAACAAAATAATTAATAAAATTAATTAATTTTTTAATTATTTTAATATTGAAATATATATACTGTACTGTAGATTGATGTCCGGTTTTATTGACTGAATACCCGGCAGTAGATGATTGCCACCAACCGAGACACCAGTTTGCGGTAAAAACCCGCGAATAGTTGCCAAACCGGTGTCGACGTCTACAGCATAGATCAGACCCAGCTTTCGTCCTACCGTTCCTCTCAACAACCAATTTGTATGTCTGTCCTCCACTACTAGCGGTAACTTTGTTTGTATATAGGTTTTAGCTCTTTTGATAAAATCTAGTAAACAATTTATATATATTTTTTAATTATTATTATTATTATTAGTTATCTAACCTATACATACCGTACACGTACTTATTATAAATGAAATAATAGGGTCCCTCATCATTGCCGGCCGATCCCCACAGTATACCCATAACACTGGCATCGGTATCGATGACAGGACCGCCAGAAAAACCGTAACCACTGCTAGCCGTATGATAGCTAATTGGTATACTATCGGCAGTACTACTATAGACCAGACTAACTGTATAGTAATCGTCGTCAATGTCCGCCGGATAGACCCCATGTCTGACTATTAGACCCGAACCGACAGTATTGAGTGTATCGCCTCCGCCACCAAAACTGGCTACCGGTTCGCCCAAATCCGGTGCCCAATCGTAATAGAGATGCAATTTTTCTAGTCTAATATTAGCCTCGCCTACATCCCGGAGCCGTATGATTGCCAGATCCAGATGCTGTTCAACATAGATGACATCGCCGTACAACTGTTCAATCAATTGATTGTTATTAATCCAGACCACAGTATGAGTACATCCTTGAACTACATGAGCATTGGTTATACAGAGATGATCGCTAGTGTCCACTACAATACCCGTACCGTTAGACAGTGTATACCTGCTGTCCGATAACGACACGCCGTACGGTATGATCACTGATTTTATGCACTTATTTTTGATGACTACCAGATCCAGGATATCGTTGTCGTCGTCACTATCGTCAAACATTTGTACCGATCGTAACCATCGGTTAATCGGATAACTCAATGACTGTCTGTCTTGTGATGGTTGCCATTGATGGCTGAAATGGTTGTACCGGCGGCTAACTGTCCCCAACATTGGTGCCGCCAATGATGGAACCGATAGAAACAAATCTAACAGTCTATTTGTATAGAGTTTTTCAATTTTTTTTTTTTGTAAAGTTTTATATAATAATATATAACTAACCGTTTATTTTGTGATAAACTATACAGTGATTTATATGATGAAAACATTTGATGTGTTTTTTTAGATAATAATAATAATAATATAATTAATTTACATAAACTACAGGTGCTGTCTATATATATATATATATATATATATATATCATATATTAATATATGTTTATTTTTATTTGCAACTAATTATTACTGTTTTTATTATACACATACAGAAAAAATAAAATATGAATAAATTTTTATTATACACTATAATAATAATATGAATTATAATATTTTGTTTGTTTAATTTACAACAATATATATTTATATATATTATATATGTATATATGTATATACTGTACTACAAGTATTGTTTTAATGCATTACATTATATAAAAATATTTGAATTATTTATTTTTGTATTTAAAATATTGTTTTTCATGTCTATTGAATAATTATGTATACATTTAAGCCTATACTGTATATTATGAGGTTTGTTAGTATTGCTAGGACTGTGCTATGCATGCCATCATCATCAGCATCACTGTCGGTGGTGGTGGTGGCGGTGATGGCATACAAACCATGGCCGACAAACAACAATCAACTAACTGTTTCAAACAAATGGTTACAAACTAGTCATAGATTCACTGAAACATTATCGTCAGCATTGCATCCATGGCTAACAACTAGACGATCGGCACATACTATCAATAATGATGTCGAGGACGATGACAACGACATCAATATTGTCGACATTAAGCACCGATGCAACGATAAAGTGGTCAAAATACTTGTCCCATCACTTGATAATAGTCACAAATTCGCTACAGTCGGTACCGGGTTTGTTGTTAGTGTAGGTAATGTTACCGAAATGTTAATCGTAACCAATGCACACGTAGTCCGCGGAAATCATTTACTGGAAGTTGACGTGAATTTTGATGGTCGTCAACAACAACGACTGCCGGCCACTGTTGTCTATGTAGAGCCGCACCGGGATCTGGCAATCGTACGTCTATTGTTAGCTGAAAACAGTAGTGAATCAATTGATAGCAAACTGTTTTCAACCGCAACAACTAATCTATTGGCCAAACCGTTGGCCACTATTGGTCCGACCAAACGTCGCGGCCGTAAATCATGTCAATCGGGTCATTGTATAGCCTGGTGTATACAGTGTAGGCATATCCAGGAACCTGACAGACCATTTCTAATGTTTTCATCGGAAGATCAGCCAATGACGATGCATACGGCACATGCATTGCCCGGCTATTCGGGTGGTGCGGTCTGGACTTCCCGGGCCACTGTATTCGGTGTCCAGAATATTGGCAAACTAACCTTAGGATTATATTATGCTAGCCTTGGATCAAGTGTTTTAGGTAATACTTAATAGTATTTTTTTGTTTGTTAAACAAACAATTAATAAATTATTATTATTATTATGTTGTTTCTAACCTCAACATCAAATTCTGGCACCGGTATCCGGCACACACATACATACACATACACATACACATACACATACACATACACATACACATACACATACACATACACATACACATACACATACACATACACATACACATACACATACACATACACATACACATACACATACACATACACATACACATACACATACACATACACATACACATACACATACACATACACATACACATACACATACACATACACATACACATACACATACACATACACATACACATACACATACACATACACATACACATACACATACACATACACATACACATACACATACACATACACATACACATACACATACACATACACATACACATACACATACACATACACATACACATACACATACACATAGACTTTCTTGACAATAGTGTACAATACGACCAACGCTTAAGCGATAGACAACTGAGACGGGAAAAACGTTTTGCATTGAAACCGGGATATAAATTAGGACTTATATTATACAATAATAATAATAATAATAATAATAAATATGAATTCAAAATTTCTGAATTATTACCCGAATCTTATAATAAGTTTGTTATCAATACTAATAATAATTAGTTTGCAATTTATTATTATTATTATTAATATTTTTTGTTTTGATTTTTTTTGTATTTTACAGTCCATTTAAAGGCCAACTAATTTTAGTTAAAAATATCCAACAAATAGCTGATGAAATCAATGAACTAAATAATTATAACAGATTTATTTCATTGTATATATGCTCGAGAACTTCACAACCAATTCAATTAATATCAATGTTTGCCATTAATTATACTCAACAAGATTTACCTATTGTTTTCTAGAAAAAAAAATAAAAACTAAATAATAATAATTAAATAAATTGTTAATTAATTTCTCAACATTTTTTTTTTTAAATTATTATTTTCATCATTAGGTTATTAGACCACTTGACTCGAGGACAGCATATATAATAGGATAGCAGTTAATTAAAAATACTAATTAATTTACAAAAAAAAATATAATTGTTATTTTTGAAATTTTTTTTTGTGTTGCTAATAACTATTTAGTTAATTTATATATATATATTCAGTTAAATAATAAGTTATATATATATTTGTTTATTGTTATACTTATAGTCCCCTAATAATAGTACCGGTAGTTAGTTAGTTGTACTTTATTTATAGACTTTTTTGGTTTATAATTAAGTATAATATATTGTAGATAAATGATTAACAAACCGATAATTAATTATTATTTTTTGTTGTTGACGACACTAATACATTATAATACTGTATAATCTAAACACAACTAATGTTATATAAATAGTTGAAAATACTTATCAAAAAAAAAAAAAACAAAACAAAACAAACCAAAAATTACAATTAATTTTTCAATACTAATCAAGTTTTTTGTTTATTAGTTATTAGTCTTTTTTATAGTATAAATACAGTATAGATTAGATAAAATACAAAATAAAAAAAAACAAAACAAAAAAAATGAAATCAATAAATAATAAGATTAAAAATATTATAAAAATATATTATAAAAAAATACAGTAAATTATTTAATTTATACTATAATTAATACTGAAAAATTAAATTAATTTTCAATTTATATTTAAGATAATCAAAAAACTAATGGCATAATACTAATGTCATGTTCATCGATGGTTACTATCGTATTGATGTCAATGGTTTTCATACTGTCCTTACTATCACTACTACTACTGTCATCATCAATGGTAGACCAAGTGGTCACTTTGATTTGCGATCTATTATTGATAGCCAATCGGATATCATTGATAGTATTGCATATCTGACCGTTAACTTTACAAATATGTCTACCGATAATACCACTGGTGTTGTTTGGGACCCAAACAAACAAAATGATTATAATATTATGATATTAATAATAATAATAATAATAATAATAATAATAATAATAATAATAATAATAATAATAATAATAATAATAATAATAATAATAATAACAAACATTGCATAAGTTGAGGCTATGGGAAGTGCCGACTGTACAGTAAAACTACCGGAAATCGGTTGTGTAGTAACTATTATACCCATTAGTCGTCTATTGGACTGATTATACCATTCATATCGTTCCCTTAGACGGGTTTGTCTTCTACCCTCTCTTTCATAAACTATAGCCCTTTCGATAAACGCTTTGTATTTTTGAGAAACAAAACAAAAAATATAATAATTTTTAAAAATATATTTTATATTATATATATATACTGTATATACGATATATAATTAATAAATTGATTAATTATTAAACATATTTAAACAGTATATCTATCTATTTATTATTTGCGCTGAAAATACCTGACAATGTTTTATAGTCGATAGCAAATGTTATCAGAAATAGTTTAATAATACCGCCCCAAACAAGACCACACAATTGGCCACTGGTATCGATGAGTGGACTACCCGAAAAACCCGGTATATTCATAGTATTGCTAGTTATTAGCGGTAATTGTTCGCCAACAGCTACTGTACTAACATAATACTTATACGGCAACATATTGTTGTCCACTTGAGGTGTCCTAATCATACCCGGGTGTAGTTGAAAGTATATAGAACTACCATGACCGATTATAGCTACTGGTTGGCCAAAATCGATACTAACTGGACTAGTAGTTATCGGCATTGGTGTCGACGTATTATAGACTGGTAATGGTGACGGATCCCGGAGCCGTACTATAGCCAAATCCCAGTGCGGCTCTACATACACAACGTCGGCCAAATTCATCGGACATATAGCTAATCTTTGATTATCATAGCTCCTGACATATTGTATCCAAACTATCGGATTATGTTTGACCACATGATAACAGGTTAACAGTAGACGACTGCAGTTGTGGTCGTTGTCGTCGACAACAAAAACACCCGTTCCTTCGCCTATAATTCTATATAAACTATCGTCAATTTTAGGTCGTAAAACATGACCTATCGATCGGATGCATTTGGTTTTCATGTCAATCATATCGAAGCCATTATCGGCGGTGTTTCCATTGTTGACAGCCATAAGCGCCGCCGATCTAAGACACGGATACCGATTGTTGTTTGCTTTTGTAGTCAATGACCGTACATATAGTATGTAATGTATTGTCAATACAGTCAGTCAAGCGATGATTTGGTATCCAATAAACCGTATAATTGATAATACATTCAATGAATACAATTTTTTCAGAGACAGTAATAACGTTTGATATTATTATGTAATAAATTGAAAACTTAGTACTATTTACAACTGAGATAGTCTAAAATTTTGATTTTTTCCAGGATTGCATCATGGATATTTATTTTTTATTTTTATTTTGTTGAAACATTAAATAATAACAGAAATTAGTATAAAATGTAAAAATATATCATTTTTAATATAAAAATAACTAAATAATTAATTTTTGATCTATATTTTCCTGATTTACATTATTTATACATGTTTTATTATTTTTTAACACTAAGTAGTATACACAGTAATATAAAGTGGAAACTAGACAGTTTTCTTTATTGTATGATGGATATATTTATTTTATATTGAAATACAAATATTAAGTAGCATACAGTGGGTTATATACAATTTATAAACATTAAGTAGTACTCAAAGTAAATAAAAACTTTATATTAGATATAATTAATATTTAGAAAATATACTTGATTAAATGTTATTGAAATCATAATCTACACTGTAATAAGTGTTTGTAAAGTTACATAAACTGATGTATATCTCATCTAATTTCTAATCTCTAATCTAATCTCTAATCTAATCTCTAATCTAATCTCTAAATCGAATATCCTATATTGAATATACTATATCGAATTACGAGTATTCTATATCGAATATTCTATATCTAATATCGAACATTGAATATCGAATTTTAATTTGTTTATACGTACGTAATTTATGTAAATCAACGTAATTTATGCTAATCAACGTAATTTATGTACAGCAACGTAATCTATGTACAGCAACGTAATTTGTGTATAAAATGTACGTAATTTGAATTTATCGACGTAATTTATGTATATTAACGTAATTTGTGCAAAACAACAATTTGTGTTTATAATGTACGTAATTTGAATTTATTGCCGTAATTTGTGTAAATCAACGTAATTTGTGCAAATCAACTTAATTTATGTACAGATACGTAATTTGTGTATAAAATGTACGTAATTTGAATTTATCGACGTAATTTGTGTAAATCAACGTAATAATGTGTAAATCAACGTAATTTGTGCAAATCAACATAATTTATGCTAATCAACGTAATTTATGTACAACAACGTAATTTGTGTATAAAATGTACGTTATTTGAATTTATCGACGTAATTTATGTATATTAACGTAATTTATGTATATTAACGTAATTTATGTATATTAACGTAATTTATGCTAATCAACGTAATTTATGTACAGCAACGTAATTTGTATATAAAATGTACGTAATTTGAATTTATCGACGTAATTTTTGTATATAATGTACGTAATAATGTGTATATCAACGTAAATTGTTTATATCATAGATTAGAGATTTGTAGTTTATATCAAACAAAAAATATTTTACTATATTTCACAATATATTTAATTAATTATTTTTTTCATTTATATTTTTTTGTATTAAATACCATTTTATTTTAATTAGTTTAGTGTAGAAAAAATAAGACAATATATAATATATAACAATTTAAAAAATATATTATTTAGAGTATAAAATACAGTATAGACACAACTAATATTATATAAATAGTATAAATACTTATCAACAAACAATACAAACCAAAAATTTATAAACAATTAATTTTTTTTATTAGTTATTAAAATACAGTATAGATTAGATAAAATAAAAAAAAAACAAAACGGATAAAATGAAATCAATAAATAATAAGCTTTAAAAATATTATAAAAAAATACAGTAAATTATTTAATTTATACTGTAATTAATAATGAAAAATTAAATTAATTTTCAATTTATATTTAAGATAATCAAAAAACTAATGGCATAATACTAATGTCGTGTTCATCGATAGATAGTATAGTATTAATGGTTTTCATACTGTCCTTACTATCACTACTACTACTGTCATCATCAATGGTAGACCAAGTGGTCACTTTGATTTGCGATCTATTATTGATAGCCAATCGGATATCATTGATAGTGTTGCATACCTGACCGTTAACTTTACAAATATGTCTACCGATAATACCACTGGTGTTGTTTGGGACCAAACAAACAAACAAATAATTAAAGTTATAATATATTGATAACAATAATATATATATAAATTTATATATTATAATAATAACAACAACAAACATTGCATCAGTTGAGGCTATGGGAAGTGCCGACTGTACAGTAAAACTACCGGAAATCGGTTGTGTAGTAACTATTATACCCATTAGTCGTCTATTGGACTGATTATACCATTCATATCGTTCCCTTAGACGGGTTTGTCTTCTACCCTCTCTTTCATAAACTATAGCCCTTTCGATAAACGCTTTGTATTTTTGAGAAACAAAAAAATTAAAAAAATGTTTTACATTATATATATATACTGTATATACGATATATAATTTATAAATTGATTAATTATTAAACATATTTAAACAGTATATCTATCTATTTATTATTTGCGCTGAAAATACCTGACAATGTTTTATAGTCGATAGCAAATGTTATCAGAAATAGTTTAATAATACCGCCCCAAACAAGACCACACAATTGGCCACTGGTATCGATGAGTGGACTTCCCGAAAAACCCGGTATATTCATAGTATTGCTAGTTATGATCGGTAATTGTTCGCCAACAGCTACTGTACTAACATAATAGTTATACGGAAGCATATTGTTGTCGACCAATGGTGTCCTAATCATACCCGGGTGTAGTTGAAAGTATATAGAACTACCATGACCGATTATAGCTACCGGTTGGCCAAAATCGATACTAACTGGACTAGTAGTTATCGGCATTGGTGTCGACGTATTATAGACTGGTAATGGTGACGGATCCCGGAGCCGTACTACAGCCAAATCCCAGTGCGGCTCTACATACACAACGTCGGCCAAATTCATCGGACATATGGCTAATCTATGATTATCATAGCTCCTGACATATTGTATCCAAACTATCGGATTATGTTTGACCACATGATAACAGGTTAACAGTAGACGACTGCAGTTGTGGTCGTTGTCGTCGACAACAAAAACACCCGTTCCTTCGCCTATAATTCTATATAAACTATCGTCAATTTTAGGTCGTAAAACATGACCTATCGATCGGATGCATTTGGTTTTCATGTCAATCATATCGAAGCCATTATCGGCGGTGTTTCCATTGTTGACAGCCATAAGCGCCGCCGATCTAAGACACGGATACCGATTGTTGTTTGCTTTTGTAGTCAATGTCCGGCCACTACTGGTTGTTGTTGTTGTTGTTGTCCGAAACGATTGCCAACTAAACAGTCGCCTATTGTATGCCATCAGCCATACCATTGATGATAATGGTATGCATAATAAACCCATTGATCTGTAAGATATAAGATTATTGACTAATGTATTATATTTATATTTTTGTTTTTTTATTATAAAAACAAACCTCAAGTACATATAGGCTTTTCTATATATATAATATATATACAAATCTATACATAATTATTCAATAGACATGAAAAAAAAACAATATTTTAATACAACAACAAAAATAATTCAAATATATTTATAAAATTTAATGAATTACTACAATACTTGTAATACACTATACGATATACAATAATATATTATATATATATACGTTATGTTACGTAAAATAAATAATTTTTTTAATTAATTCACGCGCACACACATAATATAATCAATGTATTATTATTATTATGTGCGCCAATATGCATATATTTAAATTGACTACAAAATTAAATAGGTTTTTTTTTAATAAATTATACAATATATTGATGATAATAATAATAATAATAATAATAAAATATTTAACAATATTTACAGACTATTAAAGGTATTATCAATACCATCATCACTGGCGGCGGCGGCGGCGGTAGCGGTAATCGCTTACCGCAAATGGCAAACAAATAGCAACAGTAATCGTAACCAATTGTTGTTGTTTTCAAATGGCAAACGGTTTCAAACCAATAGATACAGATTACGATCATCGTATCCCTGGCCAGCATCATCAACAACAACGACAATACGATCGGCACATACTATCCATAATAATGTCGACGACATCGATATTGTGGACATTAAACGCCAATCTAATCAAACAATGGTTAAGATTATGATACCTTCGTTTGCAGACTTCGATAAAATCTTATCAAACGGTTCAGGATTCCGGATGAATGGCAATAGCGAACTGTCAATCATAACGAATGCACATGTAGTCAGCGGTAGTCATTTGGTTGCACTGCTAATGCATTTCAATGGACAGTTGGCTGTCTTGCCGGCCACTGTCACGTATGTTGAACAGCACCGGGATCTGGCTATGTTGGAGTTGCTAATTAATCATATAGAGAGCGATCACTACCAGGCCTTACCGTTTAGCCAATCAACTCAAGTAAACGATATGTTAGGCGAACCAGTTGTCTGTATTGGCCATACCAGGACATTGGGTGAAAAATCGTGTCATACGGGTATTGTCCAATCAGTCGGTATTAATGTTGGCCATCAATATAGACCGTATGAAATTTTACTAGTCGATGCCCATGAATCGTGTCCACTGGTCATGCATTCGGCACCCATATTACCCGGCTATTCGGGTGGTCCGGCCCTAACATCCACGGCTCAAGTGTTTGGCGTACAGGTTATGGTTAAACTTGAAGAGGATTTTAGTTTTGCCATCACTTTAACTGATTTATTAGGTAGTAGTAGTAGTAGTAGTAGTAGTAGTAGTAGTAGTAGTAGTAGTAGTAGTAGTAGTAGTAGTAGTAGTAGTAGTAGTAGTAGTAGTAGTAGTAGTAGTAGTAGTAGTAGTAGTAGTAGTAGTAGTAGTAGTAGTAGTAGTAGTAGTAGTAGTAGTAGTAGTAGTAGTAGTAGTAGTAGTAGTAGTAGTAGTAGTAGTAGTAGTAGTAGTAGTAGTAGTAGTAGTAGTAGTAGTAGTAGTAGTAGTAGTAGTAGTAGTAGTAGTAGTAGTAGTAGTAGTAGTAGTAGTAGTAGTAGTAGTAGTAGTAGTAGACTAATAGCTATATCTTATAATCTTCAGTTTAAATTCAATTTAATAATTATTATATCTTTTTTGTTTGAATATAGATTTTATTGAAAATAGTAAACAGTATGCAATGGGACTCAATGTTAGACAATTGATACGTAAACAACGCTATACATTAGCACCGGGATATAAATTAGGATTGATTTTATCCAATACTATTGATGGCAACAATACTGAGTTAACAATTGAGAATATAATACCTCAATCGCGTAATATGTAATTACAAAAAAATATATTTTTGGTTTAATTTATTAAATTAATTGATTATTTGTTTATTTGATTTTTATGTACAGTAAATATATTGGCCAACAAATAGCTAATACAGATATCAAACAATTGACTGATAATCTCAATACAATTACATCAAAGAAAACTACATTAAGAGTATCGGTTAGGAAAGAGTCTAATAAGCCATTGATGTTAACATTGATGACTGCCATTGATTATACTGAACCTGATTTACCCATTATTTTCTAATTATATTGTATTTTTTAATTGTATTTCTATATATATATATATATAGGTTTTATTGATAATAAAAATTTTGTATATTAATATTATAATTGTTATATACTGCATATATATATGGATATTTAAAGAAAAAAAAAGTTTTTTTGTTGTTACTATAAATTTAATAATATTTATTATTAATTATTACAGTTTAATTAAATCACACCTAACCTTTCCACACACACACACATAATAATAATAATAATAAAATGTCAGAAAATTAAAATATTTATTTAAACTTTTATTTTAATTAATGGTCATATAATTTATTAAATGAACAAATATTTAGATAATAAAACAAATAAATACAACAACAATATATATATATATAAAAAAAATACAATTAGAAAATAATGGGTAAATTTTGTTGAGTATAATCAATGGCAGTCATCGACATTAACTGCCATTGTTTGGTAGTGTCCGCCATAGATCTCATAGTCAATGAAATAATATTGTTATTAGGGTTCACACCATTGAGTTGGTTAGCTATCTGTCGGATATTTGTATCAATAATTTGATGGCCAATATATTCACTGTTCAAACAAACAAACAAATAATAATAATTATTATTATTATAATTTCAAACAATTAATTACTTACTAATTAAGTGATTCTGGTAATGAACTATCAATTATCAGATCAGTATTGTTGTCATCAATAGTATTATTGGATACAATTAGTCCTAATTTATATCCCGGTCTCAATGTATAGCTTACTGTGCGCTGCAATCGTCTATCATTGAATCCATTGAGTCTATAGTGTCTACTATTAGCTAAAAAATCTGTTAAATACAATATATATAGAAAACATTTAATTAATTACTATTATTATATATACAGTTTAATTAAATAATACCACCACCACCACTACCTAACCCTTCCTCAAACACACAAAACACACATGCATACATGCACACTCAGACATACACATACACATACACATACACATACACATACACATACACATACACATACACATACACATACACATACACATACACATACACATACACATACACATACACATACACATACACATACACATACACATACACATACACATACACATACACATACACATACACATACACATACACATACACATACACATACACATACACATACACATACACATACACATACACATACACATACACATACACATACACATACACATACACATACACATACACATAGGTATGAATATCTATAAGTATATCTATTATTATTATTTACCAAATATATCATTGCAAGTAATGCCGAACGAAAATCTTTCCCTAACTCTATTCATAACTTGGACACCAATAACATTGGCCTCCGATGTTAGGGTCGGACCACCCGAATAGCCTATTATTGTTTCTGATGAATGCCTTATCAGTCGAGTTGAATCATCGATTGAATAAATAACAATCTGACCGGCCGTACGCTGTTGGCCAACAGTAATACCATGGGTTTGGACAATACCCGACTGACATGATTTACAGCCTAATGTTTCCGTCGGACCAATACTGGCTACTGGTTCGGCAAAAATATTTGATTTATTTGTTTGCTGCCGACTAATGTCAAACGGCTGGGCGTGAAACCGGTCGTTGTCCACATTTTTCAGCTCAATCAATGCCAGATCTCGTTGGGGTTCAACATAACAGACCAAACCGGTTAGCAAATCAAGCCAACCATTCAAATGCATTATCAGTCCAACCAATTGACTGCCTTGGACTACATGTGCATTGGTTATGATCATCATTTCGTCGCCATTTACCCGAAATCCTGACCCGAAGGATATACATTTGTTGCTGTCCTGATAGGACGGTACGACTACTTTGACTACTGTTTGGTCCGACCGTTGCTTAATGTCCTGAATATTAATGTTTTGCTTATCTTTTTTGATCGTATGTACCGATCGTATTGTTGGCCACCAGTGATGATGCGATAACATTAGTTGTTTAGTATTACTATTAGACCTTTTTGTTTGACATTTGTATGCCATTATCATCACTGCCGCCGCCGCCAGTGATGATGGTATGGATAACACACTCAATAATCTGCAAATATTATCAAATATTTTTTTTTTATTTTTAATTAATTAAAAATTATTATTATATTGAAAATAACTGAAACTAACCGATGATATAATGCTATAGTAGACCTAAATTTATACATATTTTAATTTAAATATACTGTATGATATATGTATATTATATATACAGTATATATAGTATTAAACATTCAAAAGTTCAAATTTAAATATTACTAAATAAATAATATTTATTTATTTTTTCGCAACTAATTGTGTGATAATCTCAATCTCAATTGTTGCACAAATTATTTATTTAATTAAACTGTAATATACTATATATATAAAATAAAAAGTATTAATTAGAAATTAGAAAATAATGGGTAAATTTGTTTCATTATAATCGATGGCTGACATCAACTTTATCTGCCATTGTTTGTCAGTCAACGTTGTTTTCATAGTCAATATAATTATATTGTTTTTATCACGGGTTAGACCATTGAGTTTGTTAGTCAATTCATGGATAGTTGTATCCATAATTTGTTGGCCAATAAATTTACTGTAAGAAACAAATTATAGTAAAATATTTATATATTTTTTGTTTAAAAACTATTATTATTAGATTTATTAGTAAAATAATAATAATACCAATTACTTACACATTAGGCGATTCGGGTATTGTATTCACAATTGTAAACTCAGTACTGTTGTTGTTGTCATCAATAGTATTGGACAATAAAATCAGTCCTAATTTCAATCCCGGTCTCAATGTATAGCTTACTGTGCGATTCAATTGTCTATCAATGAATCCATTGACTGCATAATGTATATAATTTCCAATAAAATCTATACATATATATATACAGTAATATAATTATGTTATTAAGTATATATTTATATACCGGTGCTAATTGATTATATACAGTATATACTGTATATCTATCTATATATCTATCTATATATCTATCTATACATCTATCTATACATCTATCTATACATCTATCTATATATCTATCTATATATCTATCTATATATCTATCTATATATCTATCTATATATCTATCTATATATCTATCTATATATCTATCTATATATCTATCTATATATCTATCTATATATCTATCTATATATCTATCTATATATCTATCTATATATCTATCTATATATCGATCTATATATCTATCTATATATCTATCTATATATCTATCTATATATCTATCTATGAGTTATTACCGAATATTTCACTGCAAGTAACGGCATAATAGAAACCTTCAGCCCATCGGCCAGAAGTCTGGACACCAATCATATGGCTTAGCGATGTTAGGGCCGGACCGCCTGAATAGCCGAAAAATATTGGCGACGAATGGCTTAACAGTGGACACGATTCGGCATAAAAATGATGATATATTTGTCCTGAAGGGCGCTGTTGTCTATTAGTCATACCGATAGACTGGATAATACCCGATTGACATGATTTTTCGCCAATGGTTTCCATATGACCAATACTGGCCACTGGTTGGCCAATAAGATCGTTGGCCGACCGAGTGTCAAACGGTAACGATTGAAAGCGATCGCTGTCTAGATTGATAACATTCAGGAGTGCCAGATCCCGGTGCTGTTCAACATAGACTACTTGAGCCAATAGCATATTGAGATAACCATAATAATGCATAAGTACTTCAACTAAATTGGATCCTTTGACTACATGTGCGCTGGTAATGATCATCATTTCGTCGCCATTTACCCGAAAACCGCTTCCGTCGGCTATCGATTGGTCGCAATCATCTAATTGTGATACAAAAATTCTGACCACTGTCTGATCCGACCAGTACTTAATGTCCAAAATATTAATGTTTTGGTCATCTTTGATAGTATATGCCGATCGTATTGTTGTTGTTGTCGTTGTTGGCCAGGGATGTGATGATAACGGTCTGAATCTATTGGTTTGAAACCATTTGTCAGACAATAACAGTTGGTTACGATTACTGTTGCTATTTGTTGGCCACTTATTGTATGTCATTATCACTGCCGTCGCCATCAGTGATGATGGTATGGTTAAGACACTCAATAATCTGCTAAAAATATTATCATATATTTTATTGTTTTTGTTTTACTATTTATATATTTTTGATTATTATTATTATTATTTTAATATTGAATTATAACAGAAACTAACTTATGATATCCTATTATAGTAGACCTGAATTTATACATATTTAAAAATAATAATAATAATAATAAACATTTAATTATTATAAGTTTTACTATAAAGTTAAAGTTAAAACAAAACAAAAATATTTAAATATAAATATTAGAAAATATCTCGTTTTTTAATTAATTATTTTTTTTTGTTTTATGCATTTGTTGTACAAATTAATAGTAATGTAATTAATTAAAAATAAATCTATTAGATTAAATTACGTTAAAATTATTTAATTCAAGTTTTTTTTATTTTTTTAAATATAAAACAATACCGACAAAAAAAACAATAAATAAATATAATTTTAGAAAATAATGGGTAAATTAGGTTCAGTATAATCAATGGCAGTCATCAATGTTAACATCAATGGCTTATTAGACTCTTTCCTAACCGATACTCTTAATGTAGTTTTCTTTGATGTAATTGTATTGAGATTATCAGTCAATTGTTTGATATCTGTATTAGCTATTTGTTGGCCAATATATTTACTGTACACACAAAACAAACAAATAATAATCAATTAATTCAATCAATAAAAAAAATATTTATTAATTTTGTAATTACATATTACGCGATTGAGGTATTATATTCTCAATTGTCAACTCAGTATTATTGCCATCAATAGTATTGGATAAAATCAATCCTAATTTATATCCCGGTGCTAATGTATACCGTTGTTTACGTATCAATTGTCTAACATTGAGTCCCATTGCATACTGTTTACTATTTTCAATAAAATCTATATTCAAACAAAAAAGATATAATAATTATTAAATTGAAATCATATTATATTATTTGGTGATAAAAGATTATAAGATATAGCTATTAGACTATTATTATTATTATCACTACTACTACTACTACTACTACTACTACTACTACTACTACTACTACTACTACTACTACTACTACTACTACTACTACTACTACTACTACTACTACTACTACTACTACTACTACTACTACTACTACTACTACTACTACTACTACTACTACTACTACTACTACTACTACCTAATAAATCAGTTAAAGTGATGGCAAAACTAAAATCCTCTTTGAGTTTAACCATAACCTGTACGCCAAACACTTGAGCACTGGATGTTAGGGCCGGACCACCCGAATAGCCGGGTAATATGGGTGCCGAATGCATGACCAGTGGACACAATTCATCGGTAACTAACAGTCCAATTTTTTCCCATTTATTTTGTTGGCCAACAGTAGTACCCACCGATTGGACAATACCCTGATGACATGACTTTTCACCCAATGCCTGTGTATGGCCAATACAGGCCACCGGTTCGCCTAACATATCGTTCACAGACGGAGTTGATTGTCTAAACGGTAGGGCCTGAAAATGATCTCTATTTATAATATCAATCTGCAACTGCAACATAGCCAGATCCCGGTGCTGTTCAACATAGGCGACAGTGGCCGGCAAGACAGCCAGGTGACCATTGAAATGCATTAGCACTGCAACCAAATGACTACCGCTGACTACATGTGCATTCGTTATGATAGTCAGTTCGTTGCCAATCAACCGAAATCCCGAACCGTTTGATATGATTCTATTGAAGTCCGCAAACGACTGTATTATAATCTTAACCATTGTTTCATTGGACTGGCGTTTAATGTCCACAATATCGATGTCGTCGACCTTATTATTGATAGTATATGCCGATCGTATTGTTGTTGTTGTTGATGTTGGCCAGGGATGTGATGATAACGGTCTCAATCTATTGGTTTGAAACCATTTGCCATTTGAAGACAACAGTTGGTTACGATTACTGTTGCTATTTGTTGGCCACTTATTGTATGCCATTATCGCCGCCGCCATCAGTGATGATGGTATGCATAACACACTAAATAATCTGCAAATATTAGCAAATATTTTATTTATATAATTATATATATATATCTTATATTACATAACTAAAAAAATAACCTTTTATTATATTTGATTATCGACTTGAATATATACATATTTTTTACAAATAAATATTTTAACAAAAAAATAATGATATAATAAATTAAACAGAAAAAAGATTTCAAAATTCAAAAAATTAATATTATTTTAATTAATTGTGTTTCTAATAATAATAATAATAATAGCATTGTTATACAAATTAACTGTTTAATAATAAAAATAATCAATATATTAATTATATTAGATTAAAAATAATTTTAGATAATATAACTAAATAACTCTATTATAAAATAATGGGTAAATTTTGTTGAGTATAATCAATGGCAGTCATCGACATTAACTCCGATTGTTTGGTAGTGTCCGCCATAGACCTCATAGTCAATGCAATAATATTGTTATCACGGGTCAGACCATTGAGTTGGTTAGCTATTTGTTGGATATTTGTATCAATAATTTTATGGCCAATAAATTTACTGTTCAAACAATAACAAAAAAATATATAAAATCATATTAAAAAAATACTTAAAGTAAAACTATTTCTAACAATTAATTACTTACTAATTCACGGATTCGGGTAATGTATTATCAATTATCAGATCAGTATTATTGTCATCAATAGTATTGAATATAATAAGTCCTAATTTCAATCCCGGTCTCAATGTATAGTGTTACGCAATTTATATTTTATAATTATTTGTAATATTATTTATTATTTTAATACAATTGTAAATGTTGTACGCATGGTATGTACAACATATATATTTTTATTATTGTATATTTTATTATAAAAGTAATTGTAATATTATGACATATTGTCATTAGTATGGGTTTCAATGTTTTAATCAGTTAATAGAGTTTTTATTTAATTGTAATTTAAGATTTGTTATTGTTATTAATAAATAATTGTTATTTTTGGGGAAATATTTTGTTAAATTTATTAATATTAATTAATGTTTTTGAGAATATTTTTATAGATTTAAAGATATGGCAATATTTAATACAAGAGTCCGCGTTTTTTGTAACACATGGTGGAGGTTTGTGGTCGGTTCCTGTCCTCCCGTACCGAGCGAGTGGCCATATAGAGGTATTTTTTATTTATTCCTAATTAAAGGGAAGGGAGGTATAGAATAATAATAATCTAAATATAATGAGTTAATACTAATGTCCATATATAGTGTAATCCAAACGAATTTGAAAATTTTTATATAATTTAATTTGTGAAATATTGATTTAAAATAAGTTTATAATAAAATAAAATGATTAAAAATAATAATCATTAATAAATAATAAGGTTATGAGTATTAATATATCAGGAAATAAATTAATATGTAATAAAATTATTTTAATTATGATTAATATATTATATTATAATATATATAAATAAGTAAATGAGTAATTGTGTTTTAAACTAAAAATAATGCGTAATTTAATTAAGTATTATATTATTTAGTGTGAAAAATATATTATAATGTAATAAAATCTCAGAAATCAGAAATATGATATATATGCTATTTATTAAAAACATTTATAGGATTGTTTAGTTAAATTTTATAATATAAATATGAAATATGATAATAAACTTAACACCCATAATTAATATTATGAATAGTTTATTAAAATATAAACAGAAAAATTTATTTATAATTAGATAATTTATATATTCAGAATAGTATTTTATATTATTATTTAAGTAAAATTATTAGATATTTTATATTAGTTTGACGATAAAATAAAAGTATATAAATATTAGATATTTTGTTAATAAGTAATACAGTACTTATATTCAGTCTTATAATTAGTCAGAAATAATAATATAATTGCTTAAATATTAATATTTAAAAAAATAGTAAATATCGGATAAATTATTCAAATATGATATATATATTTATTATGTAATTTAAGATTTTATTTAAAATAAGTTGATATCTATATATATTTACTCATTTAATTAAATTATTAAATATACAGTTAAATGTAATATAATATTAAAAATTAAGTTCAATACAAATGTATTTTATTATATTATATATATTTTTAGTTTTAGTAATTATAAAAAAAAACTACAAAATAGTTTTAAATTCATACAAATAATAATTTAATTAATTAATTGATATATAAAAATTTAACTATTATTGAAAATTATAATTGAATCAGATTATTTGTAAAAGTGTATACTGATTAATAAAAAAAATAAAAATATAAATTATATAATTATTTTAATATTAAAGTTAAGATTTTATAAAAAGACATATATATACAGTAAATGTAAAATAAAACTGCATAAATGGTATAAATTACTAAAAATTTAATAAAATCTATTGTTATGAATGTTATATAGGTGTCAATGAACTTTAATTTAAAGTTCATAAATATTGAGTTACTTATTAAATAATTAATAAACATTTTTGTTATACATTTTAAATGATAAATTCAAAATAAATATTTGATTTAATATTTATTGTTAAGATTGTGTCAATATCATAATTAATCTCATATTATTAACAATATAAATATGTTAACTTATGTGTATTTAAATGTGTTAAATTGTATTATGAAAATAAAAATAATTAACTAAATATAACTAACAAGTTATAAATAATATATTTGAAAAATAATCTGTGTCAATATTATAAATGTTAATTTTAAACTCAATAAATGGTATATATTGTATAAGTTACAAAAATATTATAATATTTAACAAAATAATTGTAAAATTGATTGTGGTTAAAAATGTAATGCAATTGCAATGTATTGATAAATGTACATTTATATTAATGTTTGACTAATAACATGCATGTTTAAATTAATGTATTGATATATGTTTTATTAAATGTTTTTAAAATTAAATTAATGAAAATAATTTATGATATTCCCACATTTGGGCCATGTTATATTGGCCGGGTTTATTAAACAAATTTGTTGAATGTTATTT